CTTAATGAGTTCTTACTGAAGTGGATCACATGTGTATTGTTTCGTGTATTATGTGCAGTCTAAATAGAAAAAAAAAGTATCATTGTTGGGGGGGGGGGGTATATGGATGAGTTAAAGCAATACAAATCAGTCCAGTCAAATATCGTGGTACACAATGTTGCCATCAACATTCTGTGCAATCTGTCCAAATTCTATTAAAACATTTTTTTTCATCAACGGGTGTTTCAAGCACAATGGACACGTCATTTGTGTTCACCAATTTTACCTACAGGCATTTTGTACACAACTTTCCATTTCTTGAGTAAATAATAATATGCGATGCCAACAATATGTGAAAAAGCTATTGTGCAATGGCTAACAACAAAGAAACATCTGAAAACATCGACAGCATTTGCTCTGTATGCATTTTTTAAAAATTCCATAATGATTACTTTGCATTGTACAATGCAACACATATAGCCTGAAACCTGAACTTATGATACTACCGGTACATGTACTCTGATACTAAAGACATTTAAAAAAAAAAAAATTGATAGTATGGACATGTAAAGTTGTAAAATATTTTATAAATTGAAATTTATTGGAATAATTAAAGAATTCTTTGAAAAGTATACTGTTCAAAACATCTTGAGGGATGACCTTATCAAATGTCATCAGTTTACTTAGAATCTTAATTCAGGTGACTTTGCAACAAAGGTATGTCTTTGCATTTAACGCACTAGGAATTGGAAACCAGTCAGTGTATCCACGAAGTGTGCATTTAAAATATCACGTTAGAAATGTTTCATCTTGAAATTCTAAAAAAAAGTTTGAACTCATTTAAAATTGCATTAACATTCTTGGCCCACACAACCCTAACAGTCACTAAATCATCTAATTTAATATGATTTATCACACACCTATTGAGAGTCGGGGGCTAATTTTACTTAAAACCATTTTCTTAAGTACAAATTGTTCTGGAGAAATTTTCCTTTTTGACCACTTCTGACGGCTCGAGGGCACAAATGCAACAAGCCAAACAGTAAAAGAATAAACCAGTTTCTTGTCCTTTGCTGCCAGCCTCCTTTTTTTAATTATACATTTGCAATATATTTTGCAACTAAACTGTCAATATATGGTCTTTTTATTCATGTTCTTCAGACACTACTTTGTATCAGCAAGAATTGAGAAAATGGAAGGATACATCCACCATCTCAGCAAATAATTGCCATCTTGGGAGAAAAGAAATAAAAGGAAAAAGTGCCCGTCTCCCTCAGTTTTTAAAAAAGCATGGACGAGAAACTGATTTTTTTCCCCCTCTGCCTTAGCAAAGCCAGAACAAAGATGAGCCTGCCACCGACATACATGTACAACTTTTACATAACAAATAACTCTTTTGAGTTTTAATAAAAATTGAAAAGAAAAAAGTCAAATTGTTAACAGCACATGAATCCCAATGTAATGATTGATACCACTCTAATCACTCTAAAATTACCACACAACATATCCTTTAAAAATGCAGTCCTGAAAAAAAAAACTGTCCATGTGACACTCATCACTTTTTAGTCATATCATGGAGCTATCCACACTTTAGTTACACAAATTTACAGTTTATACTGCACTGTATGCATTTATTTGGAACCCCGCCAATACAACAACCATGGAATGACAGTCCACGCTCGGTTCCAAAAAGAGCCAACACAACAGACATCATACACAAACAACGCCTGGATGGCCAGTCAACGGCACGCGACCGGTTTGCTTTGACAGAACAAGGACAAAGAACTGCGATTATGAATGAAACTCGTAAAGGCTTTAGCCTTTTGGCAATAGATGCAGTGGTTTATGGGAACTGGTTTATTCAAGCCCGCCATGTGGCAAATAAATACACATACGTACCCCTGGTAGTGTTTTCTGTCCATGGAGAGCCGTCTGTGCTCGAATAGCACTCTCACGATCACAGTATGTCAAGAAGGCACAACCTATAGAGTTTTCACATAGAATTTAGTCAACAACAAACCCACACTGAATCTAACAAAATATTCAACATTGTTACTGCAAAAAAAAAGTATACTGCAAAAAAAGGTTATAACCCGTTGTGTAATTCCTCCATGATATGACATGCACGGGAAACTCCTTAAAGTTAAACAAAATTGCCACTTCAAGGAGTAGGCCTATGCCTGCGAACAGTCGTAAAACAAATGTGCAGCCAGAACAGAAACAGCTGAGCTAACCAACCTTTGTGCATGCCGGTATAACGGTCTTTTAAAATCGTCAGCTCGTAGATGCGGCCGTGTTCTTCAAAGATGGGCCGAATTTCTTTCTCTTCCAGATTCCTTGGAATCTGACCGACAAAAAGCTTGATAGCATCATGATCTTTCATAGGGATGGTTTGCGGTGGACTCGTCATACAAGATTTCAACGGAGGTTGCTGCTGAGCGGGCATTTGATGAGGAACTGTTTCCTGACCGCTGCTTACTTGCGTCGCTGCCATGATCGTCATTGTACCGTTTGCCAGCAAAGTGAAGGCCGGGCTTGACTGTGTACTTAATGGGTTAATGTTATGAGATGCGAGTGGAGAACGAAGGAGCAGCAGTGACAGCGGAGGCAGGCAACGGTCTGGTAATAAGCTTGCCGCGCTGTGCATGCGCTAGCAGTACGTGATGTCAAACACACATGGTTCAATGAGCAACATCCCAGCGCTCGTGCGCAGTACAGTGCTGACCACAGTACTGTACTACACCAGTCAACAAGCAAGCATTACTATGGCACGCGCGCGCACAGCTAAGACAACAAAGCGAGCCAATCATGACAATTTACATACTGGTCAATATGCAGACACAAGCATACGCCATTGTATTTTAGTAGCCAAGAATACGAGATTTTTTTCCCAGCTTTTGTATTATTTTGTCCTACAAATGTAAATGTATACTCAAGCAAAACGAGTTGAGATGAGGTTTAGGGTGGTATATCCCAAAGCTTTACTTCTTGCATTTTGTAATTATTGCCTTTTTTCAGGGTGTTTTTTTTTTATTTCTTTGGCTGTTTTGTTTGATTGCAGGTACAAAAACTTCATTGCCTTTCTTTCTTAGACCATACTTATTTACATGTATTTTATTTATTCACTTCATGTGCTAAGTTACAATATATTCATGTAAGCATGACATGAAATTTGTTTACAAAAAAGTGTACAGCATTCAAATTTGGGTATGTCCATGCTGTGCTGAAAAATGTACTGCAATGATGCATTATCCAACATAATGACAGACCTTATCCACAGACAGCGTTCAATTTTACTTGTTGTTTTTGAGAATTGTTGTTTTTAAATTCTCAATAACCTAATGAAGAATAATTAAATTTCTATATAAGTAAAAAAATCATATACGTAAAAAAAAATGTTAGTTCAACAAAAAATGACCATGCAAATAAACATTTATTTTACATCAAAAAAGTATTTTATCTCTTACTATCCTAATATTGTACTAAGTTGTAGTGAATTTAGGTGTTTTACTTATGTATTCATTTTGGTTTATCAAAAAAAATGCATCAGGTAGCATTAATGCTGAAATTGTACAAGTACATGACATAAAATTGACACTCCTGTAAACAACTAAAGATGAATAAAGAGAATATAAAAGCCACAATTTGTTAATATACATGTTTAACAAAAGATCAAACTTTCAAGTGACAATTAATTGTGCAAACATTAAACAAGCATAATAGGCATTATAAAATGACAAAAAAACGGACAAATATAACTACCAGTGGACAGGGTGTAACCACATAGACAAGTAAATGACAACTTTATCCAGGCATCAACCAATAAACATACATTGTATGTATATATATATGAACAAAAAGTGACTAAATTTGAACCAATATCCATATAAAAGGGTTTTGTTTTTCGCAAAGGTTTTCAAGAAGCATATTAATATGTTATTTGTTGAACCGTCCAGGGTGAATTTAAAAATTAACTAAAAGTCTGTCGATGACAGCACACTCGGCTTTTCTTGGCCTTTAAATGTTAGATTATGATGTTGATATCCATTTCTATGTGAAACTTACCTATTCTAATCATAATTGGACCAAATGGCAGGTTCAATTATGTCATGCATGTGATGATGTCACAGTTATTAAGGATTCTGTTGACATCCGTTGTATAATCAAAGCTATCACAAAAGGTATTTGTTTTCTACATATAAAATATCAAATTCAAGTATGCAGTGATCACAGAAAACTCAGTCTGTACTCATCATGACATCCTAAGGAAAACAATTAAATTTCAAAATCCTATTGTGTGCAGTTTCAAGTCGATCTGATTAACCCTAAACTTCCCAAGTCCTCCAAAATCCTCTTTGCAAAATGGAGGATTCTGCAGGATTGAACATATGGCAAAGATGTGTGGCTGATTTTGGAGGATGCAGCGTGTCAAGGCCAGACCTTGTGTTGTTTATGCTCAGCTGTGCATAAATTTAGGCCTGGATTATACTTTAAATCCTCCACACTGCTCCAGCATGTTACTGGCTCTGCCTCAACATATCGACAGTGATTGCTGGAGGATTTCGCAGGATTGAGGCAGTGGCCACCCCTCCAAGGACCACATTCAAGAAATAACTGAGGATTTTACAGCATCCTAGCAAAAACGCCTGGAGAGTTAGTGTTACTTATAGATTCACTTTAATGCGATGTTTTCTTCTTACAACTTCTAATGTACAAGTACGAAATTTGTTGAAGAGCACATGCAGTACATCTTTAAAATGATACATTAGATTTGATGACATCATCGTCATGACAAACTTCACCATTCTTATTTATACTTTGACCAAATTCAGAATAGGGTCTTTGTTCAGGTTACATTTCATCATGATATGAGCTGTAAAAGTGACAATAGTGCCACCTAGGAAAAAAAAAATGTGTACAATATGGTAGCTTTTTTGGGGTAGGTGGTTTTTTTTTTTAATTTCTTGAAGAGAAGACGAGAAGATGACAAACAAAAAAATCTGAACAAACAAGGCTTTTTTTGTTTAAGTGTCTGAAAGTGTTCTTGAAAGTTTATCATAATCAACAAAATTTGATAAGACATTCATTCTCACACCAAGTCAAACCAAGGTTTATATAAATGTCTTAAAACTGGAAAAAAATACAGGTGAATCATCTTTGTATACCTGCCATCATGACATCTATCATACTGACTGAACAAATACCACAATATACACAATCTGCGACTGAATAATTGCAATAACTTTAATCACTATTTTCCCATAAGGAAATCAACAGCTTTGTCATTACTTTTGATTTTCATATTTTACAAACAAATGGTATTTCATCTTACATATACTAAAATCAATCAAGTGCTTATTCTTTTAACAAAATGGTAAAACTGACAACACTCATAATTCTCACAATGGAACCTATAATGTACATATGAATACACACATAATTTATTTATCAGCGAAATATTAATTTACAGCTTATTGGCGGACCAAATAATGTGCCCTAACTGTATTATTTCGGCATAAATGATGTACCAGGATATGTATTCATTGTATTATATCTACTGTATACCTTAACATATTTTACAACAAATCAATGGTAACAGAGCATCTTATATTAGTATGTTAATTAAATTCTATGATGTATATTAATATACATGTATTGATGCCCATCGGCTGAGTTGGCCTGAATTGCATAGCAGCTATCTGTTTTCAGCCAGTGGAGCCAGTGTTGACTGGTTCAATTATTGATTTAGAGCTGCTGAGCCTTGGGTGATGTTTTAAGTGGTCAGCAAGTTAGAGCATTACCTACATGTACATGTACACCATCTGAATCAGCCAAATACATGGATAACAGAGCAATACAGGCTTCAATTGGAACGACTGAAAACGGACTCATTATGAGCATGTGAAGGATTTGTGTGCTCTCTCTCAGCATTCTAATTTCCTGTCATCATAATGATGTACAGCATGAACCTCCTTTATAATGCACTTAAATTTGAAACTGCATTTAAACCAAATTACATCAATTATTACAGTTTTAAGATATTTTAAGATTCTTGTTTATATATTTTCTGAGTCATTGAAGCAAAGCCTTCAACAAAAGTCAAAGTTTTAAATATTTGTATTAAAAATAGACATGGTTACCTTTTTATGTAGTATTTTTAAAACAAATTAAGAAATTCCTTAATGTAGCATACTTCTTAACAAAAGTTTAAAAGCCTTGATTTATGTTGTTTTAAGGGAAGTAAAACAATCAAAAAGAGGGCCTGCAAAAAGATGTACATATGGTTTACGAGTGGATACATTTTCAATTTGTAAATCTTGCCAATGATTGCACTACATTTATTTCAGACCTTGGCGAAGTTCACATCAAGAATTAACACCCATGGGGGAAAAAAAACAGCTCTCTGTCCTGTACATATCTAGGTTACATGCTGAAACTGTGGTTGTGCAGTATGTGCAGGCTGACACCATCTGCACTGGCTGGAGGTACAAATCAAAGCTTATCTTTCACACCCACCAGTTTATACTCTTTGACTTATAATTTCACCCTTACTTTCCCATACCAATGAAAATTCATCAGGGAATTCTGTGGGATTTTTGCAGAATAGAGGGAGGTAAAGCTCAGCCACTGTGAATTATGTGAGAGTGACTTAATCCATCCTCTTGAATGTTTAAGTACATGTACATTGTGTACAAAGAATGTTACATTAGTTTACTGCAGTGGAGTATTTTCAAAGGTTCAGGAAGGTTCCTAGCAAAACAAATTTAGATTGAAAATGTAGCTTGGCAGCTCTGTTGTGTTTTTTTCCTTTTCTTTCACTTCTGACTTCAGAGAAGCCATCACCATTTTAAAATTGTGAAGCGTTTTTTTTTTTCTGGAATATAATTTTCCGCGCTTTTCATTTACATGTTATAAATTTCAAACTTAGAACAAACATCAACCCCGATCTGAAAGTGTGCACATATTTATATTTATTTAGATTTCCATCAGCCAACATCAAATATAACCGCCAATTACAGGTTGAGTAAAAACACTAAAAACAAATTACAGTATAACTGTGACATCTTGATGACATTATCATTACATGTATCATATTACAAGTGATTTTACTTCAAAAAGTGACCATTTTCATTTATTGAAAGCGCATGAACAAAATAAACAATCAAGTTCATAATTTTATTTATTTCTGTAGGCAAAGTTGCTTAACACTTAATCTTCCAGTTCTTTTCACTTTATCTTCCATGTGTATCTCGTCAACATTGGTTTTTCACATTTTAGCTGATGACATCAAACCAGAAGTAACATGTCAAATGAAATCATACCCAAAATCAAACCTTTTCAAATGCAGAAATGGTTAAACTGGAAAATATACTTCATAATTCTTTTTCAGTTTTTACATAAAAAACATTCACAACAGAATCAGACAGTGTCCAATGAAATAGTTGCACGCCTGATCACCCTGCGTTTGCATCTGGTACAAATGCAAAATCTCTGGAAAAAAAAAAATCTTTTTGATAACTATTATGGACCACACATTTTGGAACAGCCATTTTCTCCATTTAATTCAATAAGCATACATCAGAAGAAAATACTTATTGCCAAGAAATTATAAGCTTCTGCCTACTGCTCATAAACTGGAATGACTGTAAGAAAGGTCCAATGTTTGGATTCTGCTAGGATGGAAAATTCAAACTCTCCAAACTTTGAAAATGTACTTGAACTTTTGTTCATTCATCCGTAATTCTAATTTTACATGTACATGTATAGGTTTTCCCGGCCAATTTCCTAAAATGGTCATTCACTTCTGAAAATCAGTCATTCATTTTCGTCTATATTTGAGAATCGCTGTGAACACGTGTTTCATTTTCACTGCCAGAGCATTCGATTCCATTTCAGTTCAAGCAATTAAGTGATTGAGCAGCACCTTTTGTTTATGCTCATTCAGTTCGTTTACAAGACTTCCTTTTCGCTTTTAGAGGGCGATTTCAAACATTGCCCATTCTATTTCACTTTCAGTTTAATGTTATGTGATGCAATCTACTATTTTGAATGAGAAAAACGTACTTTTGATTGCACATTCACAAAATTGTATGCCCGAACTCTGCACGAAAAGGCATGCTTGCGTAAATGAATGCACAGGTAATGTAATTGGCCATCTGTTTCTCAAAACTGAATGCAGGGACAATGAAAACGATTGAACTTTCGTTGAATTGAAATGAGACGTGCATTCATATTCAGACGAAAATGAATGACCAATTTTCCGAAGTTAATGAACATTTTAGGAAATTGGCCGGGAAAACCTATATTATAAAAAGTATGTAAATGAAAGTAAGCTACTGTTTTTAAATGCTTGTAACAAGAATAATAATGCAATCTCCATCAATACCTTTTTTATGATTTAATGTGCAAGAAGTTTGCAAGAGATGTGCAAGAGTTGTAAAACATTCACTCTTTAGTCATGTACAAACCAGCCCTTTATCCCATAATGCTTTTACATATATGCAAATTTATAACACCACAACATCAAATGTTTGGATAAATGAATGTTCTGTAATTATATTTACACTACATACTGAAATATGATTACCATAATTAGAAAGTATTGATGACATACATTTTGACATATTTTAGCAGTACAATTTGATCTTCATTTGTTGTCACGTGTATTCCCTATAGTGGGAAAGATAAATGTGAGGACAACTAAACTTTATGAAGAGTGCCTGCTCTGAATGCAATGGCAAACTGGTTGAATATGCATGAGGCAGTATTATTCCATGCATGAGCTTGGGCTTCAGACTATTCTCGCATATGATTCTGACGTTGGTTAGTGTTATACATTACAAAGTATTGCAACATCTGGTGTTGTTAATTTAGTATGTTTATGACATCAGACTGTTTTCCATGAGCAATTAGGTAAGTGGGGTGTTTAAATCTTCCAGTACAGGGTTACATTAATTGAGCTGTGTAAATATTTGAAAACTATGGATCATTTTATTCCTGGTCTCCATTTGAATCACGGTCAGGTTTCATCAGGTTTCATCACTCTTTTCTTTTAAAAAAAATGTTTATTAAGAATAAAAAAAAAATTGATAATAACGATCCAATAATACCCATTTTAATAGAAGTTTACCTGTTCTGCATTGCATACAGTTACTTGTATTAACTTACAGGGTTAAATCTTGAAGTTGATGAAGTGTTACTAGCAACATCACATAAACTGCAATGAAGTTCTATGGAATAAGCTGGTCCATTGAAGAATAGAAAAGGATGTAGGCTGCTGCACTCTGTAAACAACAGAAAGTAGAATGGATATTCAGTTACTGTTAAGTATAAATGTTAAAACCTAAGAATGCTAAAAGAGAACCGTGATTTATTACTTGGTTCCAGCTACCTCCTCATACTTTGAGATACATGTATCTTTTATAGTTACCCAGAGTTCTACACTAGCCTGAGAACTGCTGCCTTGGATCGTAGTATTCAAATTGTACATGTACTAGTTAAAATTAAAGGGGCAAAATTAAGACTTTACAGCATCAAAGTTTTAAAATCGTCGAAACATTGCTAATTCGTTAGTTTTTTTAATGCCACAAGGGGGGGGGGGGGGCCTCGGATACCCCACTGCCATCAACGTGGATAGTCTCAGGCAGGATATTAATTCTTAACCCCTTACTACAGCAACCTGACATCACTGACACTTATAATCATTCTTTGGTTTGCCGGAACATCATTTTACACCCACATGCTCCCTGATATGCAAATTCAATGCAGGCTGCAGAGAGAGAGAAACTTCACTAACAAAATTGTCTTTTTGTGAGCTCTGGTCACACACTTTATAAAAAGTAATACCAGCAAGTGTGTAATGCTTTGCTCACAGATGCCAAATCATTCTGGCCTCTTTCATGCCATGATTCAGCTAACAAATCCATTACCAGGGCCTGGTGCTACCAGCTCCCAACAATCCACACAATTTGGACACAAGACAAATGGACCGTTTTCAGCAGAAGGTGGGAAATGTGCTGGATCGATGTTCAGCTGATGTTCAGATATGTCTAGCAAGGACACCATCTCCAGCGCCTTCTCATCATTTCAGGAGGTATGTAAAGAGGTGAGTGGTTTGATCATATCATCTCCCATCAGGACTTGACAGAATCATCCCCTTCCATCTGCTGTCTTCAAAGAATCTCTGAACAAACTTTCAGTCAAGTGGTTCTCCTCCTACCTAAAGGAGGGGACCCAAGCTGTGTCAATAGGCAACAATTTTGAGTGAATGAGGGTGAATGCAAGGTTCCTGACTTAAGTTTACATTTAACTTTAATTGAAACATTACATTTTGCGGGAGTAAACTTGCCGAATAGCTTCCATACACGTAGTGCCCTCAAAGGGCATTGAGATTTATCGGATGATGCAATGCGTTAAATAAGAACAAAAATATTAGGACAGGATTGCATCCTACGACATCCATGCAGCAGTTTATGCAGATGATACATAACTGTATGTAACTGTAATTGACCTCGATTCAGCCAAGAGAGATGAGGCACTTCATAAGATGTATGGATACATAAACTATGTATGATCTACTGCTAACAAGCTGTGCCTCATATCTCAACAGTGTAAAACAGAGTGACTGCACAAGACTTGTCGTTTGTAATCATACCAACAAAAAGGCCAGCAAACAATCCATCCAAAAGGGTCAGCAAGGACTCTGCCAGTTATAGTTGATCATAACCTACTTATGACTGACCATGTCAACAGGATCTGTGTTCATCTTTCTCAGCACTGCATGTATTGGCCATCTTGATGATGACAGCTGAACTGCATTTATCCATGTCTTTGTTACATCTAGGCTGGATTGTTGCAACTCTGTCTTGTACAGACTCCCCTAGTCAGAGATTTACAAGCTCCAGCGAGTGCAGAACTGTGCAGTGAGGAATCCCTTGATTGACTGTCAATTAATCAATGCTCCATACATGAGATCCTGCTGCTCAAAAGATCCTACATAGGAGAGGACCAGACTAGATCGCTGAACCACTTCATGAGTACAGTCCTCCACATCATTTATGTTTGACATCCGTAATCTGGTCCAGCTCATGTTTTTACTGTATTTTATGGTGAACAAGCATTCATGCATGTACGGCCTGGAAGCTCTGGAACCACCTTCAAAACTCCATACGTGCTGCAGACTTGCGGTCAACATTCAAGAAACTTTTAAAGACTCAACTTTTTAAGCAATGATATGTTATTTGCTGACTTTTACATTGTGATGAATTACTTGCAATACATGTTGCTACCTGTGTTATCAACGGACATCTGACATTTTCAGTGAATTCAGTGAATTTTCAGTGAGAGCCCCCCCCCCCCCCAGTAACCCCTCCTTATCCACCACTGAGTGAGACATGTTGGTGTCTTCCTAAATCTGTTAACTTCCATTTGTAGAGCAACTTTTTGTTTCAAAATGCTTAAAATGATTTCTGAGCTTCAAAAATTATACTAAAAATCTGTTTGGGTGAGGGGGGGGGGGGGCGGGAGTTTAAATGGGGTTAATGATAGCTTTTTGTTTGTGCACCTGTCTATGGTAAAAGGTGCCATTTTCGGTACTTCAATATTATTATTAGTGTTATTATCGTTATTATTTTCATAAATTATACCATTTGCATTTGGGAGACACTTAAGCATCAGAAGTTATACCTTTGGGGGACATGTGGAATTAGGGAGACATTTCAATGTCTCACTAATGCCTCAGCTCCTATTTAGAGGTACAATTTTAGTGTAGCATGGCTAGATTGATTGCTTATGATCCAATTCGTGGGGGTAATATAGTAACATTGGGGTTAGGGGTTAGGAAAGTCAGAAAAATTATTGCGCACAGGTCTACTGGAGTGTATCCCTAATGGTAATTTTTTTCGGTTATACTATTATCTTATGATATTATAAAAAGTCTTAATACTGTACCCCTGATTATTTTCCCCTGATTATTTTCCCCTGATCGTTGGAGTTGTCAACGTAAGTTCATCTTTTGTTGAAAACGGTCCTCAAAAGTTAGTGTGTGCTTGGTCTATGGGATAGCATTATATTATAGGGACAAGGGAAAGACAATGCCTTGTTGTCAAACCTAATGATAAATACAACTGTGCAGACTGAAAAGTTAATAAGATTCAACAGATAAACACAACACACTTTAAATATCCACATTTTGTCCGTGTCTCTGTGTACATGAATTACATACACCCCAAGGACAGACAGACAAAGGGAGAATAACAGATTCTTTGTTATCCTCGAGAGTTCATCTTTCTTTGAAAACGGTCCTCGATCGTGAGTTTGTGTGCTGAAGTCTATAGAAGAGTGTTGTATTATAGGGACATAGGGACAGACAATGTGTGCGTGTTTATGATGTAAATTGAGGACAAACATGTGAAGCATCATCGGGTAATTGAGGACAGGAGTCAATCGAGGACAACCTCGATTAGAAAACGTGTACAAAACCAATGGGAGCTGTTGCAAAAAAGTTATGAGTATAAACAAAAGACCGATGATGAGGAATAGAAAATCCACGATTTACACCAACAAACCTGGGTGTGTTTGTGTGTACTTGTATGGCTTTACAATAGAGGACAGATGCACAAAGGGAGAAGAAGAGATCCTTTCAGTCCTCGAACAATGGGTCTTTTGTTGAAAACGGTCCTCGATTGTACGGTTACATGCATGTGACTGGACTATGGGAGAGTGTTATATTACAGGGGCAGATGGGAAACACCGTAGCATTGTCCTCAGGCATGTGAAACTTCAAGACTGTGTGTACTTACAAATGTACATATGAGTACACACATGGTACTGAGAACAAAGAGCGACAACAGGGTCAATGGTACCTGCAAGTTGGTCTTTAGAAATCTTGGTACCCCACACATGCCACAGCAGAAAAGCCATAGCGTTAGGGATTTTGATAGAAAAAAAGGAGAACAGTAGTAAGGAAGTAAAGGTGGACAATAGTGGGTACTCCATAAACCCAATATGTACAACTCCTTGTGCTTCTGCATTCAATAGGAGACGTTGAACAATAGCCGACAATAGGGTCCCCAATTCCCGAGAGGTCCCAAATTTGGATTCGTGTACAAAACATAAGGGATGTCTTCCTAAATAGTTAGTGTACAAACAAAAGCGATCACCGATTGAAGGCAAATATACTCTTGTGCGTGTGGTGGGGGGGGGGGGGGGGGGTAACGTACCTTAATGTTACTTTGCGATGCATCATGCACTTCATGATCATCAAACTTGTACCAACGGTGGTTGTTGACATTCAGACAACAAGCTGTATCTAGTGAATAATTAAACAAACAGAATTATTATTCTAACTGAATTTTAAATTTATCTATACATCTGTAACAAGTACTCTTCATATCACATAATTTCAGCGATGTGTTACATGGCAGTGTCCTAGCCAGAGTGAAATTATAGCGTAGGGGTTATTTGGTTCGAGAACTAATGCGAAAGTGGCTAATGCGAGAGTGGCTAATGCGAGCCTTTTTATGGCTTAAGAGCTCTCGAAAATTTTGGATTCTAGGTGCTCTGTGGTGCAAACGGAGGCGAGTCCTGGCATCTTTCCCCTGATTTTTTTTAGCAGAAGTGTTTAGAATTATAAGAAATTTTGTTTTATTTGTTTCAAATACATACTCTTGTTCTTGTTAACTTGTGTCTGTTTTCAAATTTTAGAACATGTTTATAATGTATAAATTGTTCCAAGATCGATGCTTTCTATTGTTTAATCATTTTTAGTAGTTCCTCAATGTTTTATAAAAAGTTGAGATTTAGTTTATCAATATTAAGTGCGCGAAAAAATCGCATGAACATTTCATATTCATGTAACTATTCATTGAATTCAAGTTTGAAGTCAGAGTTAATCAATCTAAAACTAAAACGGGGAGTAATTAGGCCTGCATGTACATTGTACCTCCACGTCCAGCTAACACTCGTTTTACTTTTAGTCTCATGAGTCCTGTCTGTCCGACGTCCGAAAATTGAATCACGCGGTCCTCTGAGTTTATCCCTCCCTTTTTGCATGTAATGTAATTCAGTCCAGTTTCAATTTCAAGAAGCCTTGTCGCATTGGCGTAGCACTTAGCTCAGATTTTAAATTTGTAAATAAAACCATCGGCAGATCGGCAGGAAGAGAAATTGTAAAATCATGGAGGTCTCAAGACAGAAAACATTTGGGGACTGCAATTTCCACATGCTACAACACAATTTGAGAAAGAAATCTCATTTTTGTTATGTTAAAAAATCTAATTGTAGATAATGACGATGTGAAATAATCACCGGGAATTGCTTCCTATCCTGGCCGCGGCCCGGCCCGGTGCGGGCCTGCGCGCGACGGGCTACACGAGCGAACTACACGACCAAACTTTTCCTCAGTATTTGAGAAAGCAACGCATTCCTGGAGCACTAAAACAAATTTGCTATGTTGCAAAACTTGCTGATTGGTATTTTCCTAAGAACAAACAGATCCCTTTTAACCATCAAACTTATCAAACTGTCAAAAATCCTAATTTTCGAAAGCGACATTCTTCGAAAAAAATTCCTCACTGGCGGCCATCTTTATGGACCGATCCATTGACATCGAAGGGTGTATTAACCTTTCTTTGGAGTTTTACATCGTTTCTCGAATAAATCCTTTACGAAAATTATGTTTCGACATATAATAACTTATTTTTCAAACAGGGATATGTTTTGGACTCCATTATAAGTTGTAATTTTGAAACAGCCTAAATGCTGGTGAACTGACTTTTAGAAAGCACACCTGATACCGCAAAATGGTGTGGTCTACAGAGCACTCTGTACGTGACCTTTTGGTGACACGTACGTCCATGCGTAGCGCTGGAACTAAGCAACACAAAAGAGCACATGCTTATAGCTTTCATAGCGAATGTTCATATGAATGGCGCGACATCACGGTAGGGTATCGTACGGGGTACGTGCGGTTGGATCTTGTTTATTTTTTGCTGTGTCATACGGCCAGTGCACAATGTTCGAAGTTGCCGCACTTGTATACGAACAAACGGAAGCAACTATTTTTTAGCGCTATTTATTGCCTGGCTAGAACACTGGTTACATGTAAAAGCAAAACCCATACCAGGGGGAAAGGAAAGTACAAATCTGCCTCTTCAAATGCACTACACAGTGTGAGATTTGTAAAACCTGTAAAGCATACTTTAATCGTTTCCTTTTTGTTAATTGACAGATATGAAATCTACATGCAGAAAAAGAAATCTTAGATCAAGAATGACAGCAGATGTCAGTTCTTTTACAGGTCAACTTATGACATCTACTATCACAAAGATGATAAAAAATATCTCGACATAACTGTACTCAGTCAAGTATCCAGCTTGATGTCGGGGGGGGGGGGGGGGGGGTTCAGAGTCTCTGGTCCACTGAGAACTAATGGCCTGATTCTACTAGCCAGTAATTATTGGTAAAGAACTTCTACATATGCCATATATTGCCTTAGACGGCACTAGCCATTCAGTCAGATTATTTTCCCACAGTATTTTGTGGTCATGCTGTCCTTACATGTCCTCTTTTTTCGAGCATACAGACACTGGATCCACATGTATGCAATGGGAGGGGGTGCTTTAAGGGGAAGTTCTTGTTTGTAGCATCGGTAGTCCTCACTAGTAGAATCAGCCCATACTACTGTGGATGGGGGGGGGGGGGGGGGGAGGGGAGGGAGAGAGATATACTGCGCTTGTCCACCACCACGAGAATTATTACATATGGGCAATTCCATGGTAACTCACGTTGAAGGGTCACTGGGTCCTGGAACAGCCCAATTGGGCCACAAAATGCGGAAAGAACATTTAAAAGTAGGATATAAACATCCTCACAACAAAAACGAATTTTGGGGTCCACTTTTGTGACCCCAAAAGTTGAGCTGTTTGGGTGCTAGTTGTGATATCATTCGTAAAGTGTTCGCCTTTTGCGGACGTCGAAGAAAATATATTTTGTGCATTGGTGATTGGTCACCGCTGTTTCCGAGTCAAACGTGTATATCGTACAAACACTGAAACAGGGATTTTCTCGGGAATGGTAAGACATTAGGTTAGTTTCCTTTCGACCAGATGTTTGAAATAGGATAAGTAAACAATCCAAAACATGACATTTTTCAGGGATTTCTGGAGCTAGTGCCCCCTTAAGTAGTCTATGGGGTTTGAGATACAGACCCAAGAAGAAAGACAAAAGACTAAAACAAAGACTTTCCTACAACTTTGCCAAAATATCACAGATATACAAATACACAGAAGAATATCAAGGGTGCTAAAAACAGAACAATAGCAAAGAGTACTGAGAAACTAAACACCAATCAAAAGTAAACTACATAAAGGCACTCACAATGTCCTCCATCCATAGTTCCAATGTGGTTAGAGACTGCATATAAGTAGTATGGCTTGGGTGGTTTGGGTCCTCTTGTATAAGGTGACATGTCCATGTTATGCAGAGGGAAATCAACCATAGTCTGAAGCTTCTGACGCCACATGCCTTCATAGTAAAATCTAAGACAAAAGCAAGATGATAATAATAATAAGTCTTATATAGCGCACGTATCTACCAACAATTCAAGGCGCTAGATAGTCTGAAATGGTACATAAACTCATTCTAGTTGTAGATCCAATGGGGCAGCAGCCGACGCACAGCCCCTTATTTTTCCCCATTTAAATTTTTTTTTTTAGGTACACCTTGTATTTTTTCCCTGTTTCTTCTGCTGTCAATTTCAAAGACAGAAACTTTCGTCCACATACATGTAAGCAAATATATGCCTGGTTTGTGTGGTCAGGTTTCACCTCCATTTTTGGTGAAGCCCCCCACGCCCCTTCTATAAATACTGGATCCCCCACAATTCAATCATTAAATGTAGCCATTGATTGTGACCAATGGTTGAATAAGACATAAGCCATTGCAAAAATAATAAATACAACTTAGCTACATACAGGCCCGGATTAAATTCGAGGGCCTACGAAAAATTGAGGGCCTACGAAAATACTACAGTGTGCGACAGTGTGTGATAAGTCACATATCACATCATCATGACAAATAATATTTTGTTTTTAAGTTTCAACAGTTCTCTCTCTGAATTTTGATTTTTGGAAAGCTTTAAACTAGCTAGAACATAGCTGACTGTGTTCCCATACCGCGAACCTCAATACATGTATACTTTGTAATAACTCATAGCTGCATGAAACTGTACCAGTACCATGGGTTTTGTGTCCACACGTGCGTGTGTTATTATAGGCCAGGCCTATTCGTGATAGTGTCTACTGATAGCTGCTTATTAAACACGAATAGGATACACCTGTTGCCAGGCCACGGCTGAGAATTTGTCAGCGAGCTGTTCATTATAGAATTTGAAAGTCAAGTATATACAGTCAACATGTCGGATGGATATAAGAGAAAGCATGAGGCGGGTCACGCGAAGCGTAAGAAGAAAGAGAAGCAGGAAGAATCACTGAGCCGCATAAAAGGTTCGTTGCTGAATTTCGTGAAAAAGATTCCTGAAAATCCCGAGACTGCAGTTAACACCGATGAAGCATCTGACGCTGTAACTGAGGAAAACCAAGATCACGATGTAGGTAACAATGGTGGCGGAGTAACTGAGGAAAACCAAGACCACGATGTAGGTAACAATGGTGGCGGAGTTACTGAGGAAAACCAAGATCACGATGTAGGTAACAATGGTGGCGGAGTTACTGAGGAAAACCAAGATCACGATGTAGGTAACAATGGTGGCGGAGTTACTGAGGAAAACCAATATCACGATGTAGGTAACAATGGTGGCGGAGTTACTGAGGAAAACCAAGATCACGATGTAGGTAACAATGGTGGCGGAGTTACTGAGGAAAACCAAGATCACGATGTAGGTAACAATGGTGGCGGAGTTACTGAGGAAAACCAAGATCACGATGTAGGTAACAATGGTGGCGGAGTTACTGAGGAAAACCAAGATCACGATGTAGGTAACAATGGTGGCGGAGTTACTGAGGAAAACCAAGATCACGATGTAGGTAACAATGGTGGCGGAGTTACTGAGGAAAACCAAGATCACGATGTAGGTAACAATGGTGGCGGAGTTACTGAGGAAAACCAAGATCACGATGTAGGTAACAATGGTGGCGGAGTTACTGAGGAAAACCAAGATCACGATGTTGGTAAGAAGTCACAATGTTGGTAATAACATTGGTGGCAGCTCAGTGCCAAAAATGACTGCTGAAATTGCAAACCAACATGTTAGACAAAATGAATCATATGAGAGTCAACCAGAACCTGAACAAATACCGCAGGCCAGTTTCAAAGGTGATCCTCCCAAATGGTGTTTAAAAGACCGTGTCTTAAGGAGCACTTTGCAAAACATATCCCTGACTAAAATTTTCAAGCAGATTTCTCACAGTATGGTAGGCCATTTGGCGAGAAGATAAGGTACGGGAGTAAAGAATATTTCTACAGAAAACTTGCAAATGGAGAAACTGTAAAGAGAGACTGGCTGATTTACTCCCTTTCAACTGCCAGAGTGTATTGTTATGTCTGCAAGTTGTTTTCAATGACAGCACCATCTGAACACCAATTTCAAACTGGTTTTGATGACTGGAAAAATGCACACACCAGAATTAAATTCCACGAACAATCCAAGGATCACATGAGCGCATTTCGAACCTCTTCACACTACAAAAATCTTCTAGGATCGAGCGGGGTTACCCTTCCGTGGTGATACTGAAATCCTTGGCTGCCCTAGAAAAGGAAACTACCTCGGCTGTCCAGAATTGTTAGCGGAGTTCGACCCTTTTCTATCCGAGCATCTCTGTAGACATGGAAATCCTGGCAAAGGCAACATCTCATTTATCTTTCCTCGACTACACTGTATATGCAACAAATTTATTGAAATACTGGCAGCAAAGGTAGTATCCGAGATTGTGTCTGAAATCAAAGATGCCAAATATTATGGAATCAGTATTGATTCTACACCCGACATTGCTCATATTAACCAGCTAGCTGTAGTGTTCCGATTTTGCACGCCGGGATGGAACTGTGACTGAGAGATTCTTGCACTTCATACTAATAGAGCAGCATGACGGCAAATACCTCTTTGACATTTGCAAGAGACATTCCACTCTCACGGAATACGCATTGACAACTGCCGATCACAAGCCTACGACAATGCAAGTGACATGAGTGGAGCGTATTCTGGAGTTCAGGCGAGATTTCGAGAAGTTAACAGTCTGACCAAATGGGTACCTTGTGCTGCCCATAGCTTGAATTTGGTGGGCTCGGCCGCGGACGAAAGTTGCCTGGAAGCGGTGAACTTTTTCAGAATCTTGCAGTCCACATATACCTTCCTGTCTGCATCACCAAAGCGATGGTCCTTTTTTGTTGGGAAACATAAAAAAAAGGAGTCATCTTGTACAGAGTGTTTCAGAAACCAGGTGGTCTGCATGGAGTGATGCAATAAGAGCCTTGTCCGCCAATTACATGTATGGTAAAATTCACAAGACACTCAATGATATCGCACATGAACAGTGATCGACAAACACAAAGCAAAGGACATCAGCTCAAGTGAGTACTGAGAAGTAACACAACAAAATCGGGTGAGAAAAACTTCTTCAGAGAATCAGGCGAAGACACCACAGAAAGCCTAAGTGCGAGGGAAAGATTCCGCTTGCAGACATTCATTCCCATAGTGGACTGTCTCATTGTTGAGATGAAAAAACGACGAGCTGCCACTCTCAATGACGGGTTTGGCTTCCTCACGGACAGAAATCTGACAAGTGATGCAGCAGCAAGCCATGCTCAGCAACTGGTAGAACACTTCTCATGTGATCTTGAAAAAGCGTTTGTAGACGAGTTTGTTTTGTATTTGAACATGCACAAAGACAAAACCTCAGCCTCTGCAATGTTGAAGGCACAAATCGAGGAAAAGCTTGTCTCAAGCTTCCCAAATGTAAATGTTGCCTTGAGGATTTACCTGTCAATTTTCGGCACAAGTTGCGAAGGGGAACGCTCATTCTCAAAACTGAAAAGACTCAAGAACTGCCTATGATCAACCATGGACCAAAAACGTCTGACATCACTTGGGCTTCTGTCTATAGAAAGTGATCTGCTGCAGCTGCTCTATTTCGACGAGGTCATCAAAGACTTTGCAGGTCAGAAATGTCGGAAAGTAAACCTCCACTGAGTTGATTGCGGCCAACATGTTCGGTAAGTTCCCTCAATAAACCACATACCATCCAGTTTTAATTCACATAACTTTAAAAAGGTGATTTTATTTTGGCAAACTGTATCAGGAATTTGGTAATTCTATTATTTTACCCACCTGACGCAGATTAGCTGCATGTGTACTACATGTAGGTATAACATTTACATAATGTTTGTCGTTCTGAAGCACGCGGCACGCGAGCCAGCGGGCATAATAGAGTTATATTACCAATGCAAGGTGCGGTTTGTTTTACTGATACCTAGGGCGGACTAGGGCCTACGAAACACTAGTGCCTAGGGCCTATGAAACACTTAATCCAGGCCTGGCTACATAGGGACATTACATGTAATATGGTACATGTACATTCATTTGGTTTAAAACCATATCACAAACAAACAAAAAACAACTACAATGTATGCATTTATAATGTATGTACATGGAACTATGCAACTAACAGCATGGAAGATGTTAAAAAAAAAAAAAGGTAAAAAAAAAAAACCCTATACAAGGTGCCAACAATAATCAAACAGGAGTAAATAGAAAACAAGACTTTATGTTTGTGGACAAATTAACACATGGCTGTTTCAACATTTTGTTAATGCATGTTCAAATCATGTTATAGACTGGGGGGGGGGGGGGGGCTATGAAATCATCCCCCGAAGTTTTTTTGATGAGAAAATGATATGCGGATTTTGAGGTATTTTCCGAATGTCCAAACACCTAAAATGAACTTAATAGTACTAAACAATGGAGAAACAAATTAAAGTACAAAAGCTTGAAAAATGTTAGCCCGAGTATATACATACTGATATACATCTTTATCCTGAAGAGCACCCCCCCCCTTTCATATTTCCATGGCCGGGCAATTTGCAATTTTAGGATTTTGGTCATCCCCCATCCCCCCCACTCAACGGCACAGATTTACGCCACTGACTGCAAGGGTTGGGAAGAGACCAACGTACAAATTATTTACATTTGTTTTGATTCATTTTGCTTTAACATATAGTCTGATGCTTTTGAAATAAAAAAAAAAGCCACTGGAACTCAGGGAAATCGGTGGTATTCTCAATAATACAGGCTGGTTCAGAACGGAGAAATAATAACAGAATTCCGCTTTTTTTTGGGGGGGGGGGTTTGGTGTTTTCAACATATTCAGTTACGCAAGGTTCTTTTGTTCTGGTCTGAGGGTTAATGTACAAATGAGTATTGGAAAATCATTAGTAATTATTGTCAGCCACATACTTTCTTGTAATAAATGAACATTTTGACTATGGATGCATACCTCTTGAGATGTATTAGAAGGATACGGGGTAGCTTCCAGATGAGGATGACCTTAGCAGAATCCCTGTTGGTTTTACATCGGGAACAGTAAATAGCATTGTCTCCACTCAATTTTTCCTCTGTTGAGAATTTCTTGAGACATTGCTGTAAAATGAGAAACAAGATTCTTCCTAATCAACAAATTCTGAGGATCAGCTTCAATGTGGGATGATCTCAAAGCACAGAAAGCTAGTCAATTTCAAATGGATGATGATTGACATAATTTTCAATATTTAACATCTTCAAAGATTCAGTTTTATATGCAAGATACATGTACATTTATAAATTCCTAAGACAGTTTACCAATTCCTATTGGTCGAGAGCCCATCACATGGCCGGTCTAAATGCTTTTCCTGTGTCACATGAAATTTGGACTCCTATGAAATCTGGTCCTTTTTACCCTTTTATTAGTTGAACATTCACAATCCTCGCATAAGCATACACAATACTACCAATGAGTCAGTATTTCATTGTCCTAAATTCACACTACACTGACACAGCTTATTCCCTCTGCATTTTCCTCTAAATTTTGAATAATCTAACAACATGCATGTACAAGTTGTCAAAAAATGAAGTGTTACATTTTTCAAATGGACGCTACCTGTAATGTGCATCGGCTTGACGAAGGAAGAGGCAGTGACAAGTACATGAATGCCTCAAACTTGACAGATTTGTGACCACATGACAAGCAGCAGACTGTTGATTTAAACTGGCCTTGGAACAATGTAACAATGATGGACTGGTTGAGTCGGTTGTGATATGTCCAGGATATTTCAGCAGCTGTCTGGTCAGGATACTTCTCTAATTCTTCCTCTTTAATGTACTCTCGCTTCTTAACCTTGGGCACATAAAAAGAAACTTAAAAGTGAATCCTTGACCTACATGTACTGACCTTAGCTTTAAATACAGGAACTGGGCACTGTGCCTTATATTGAAATCTGACAATGGGAGCTTTAAGTTTATCAATTCTACATTTTCAGGACTGATATCAAACAGTGCAGGCACTTTGTTGGTTAATACACTGGGAAGTGACATGATATCATGAACTAAAACAATAATATCAGAGTATCCCCCCAAAAAACGACAAAAAAGCAAAATTTGGTGGTTACCTGACCTAACGTGGTGTTAATTTTTGACACTGTTTTACAAAACCAATCAAATTTTTGCCTTTTTTATCCACAGTGGCAACCTATATTTTTGTCACCATTTGCCAATCCAAAAGCGATTACACAATTGTTCCTTTAATGAAATATGTTTCAAACCTGATTGAGATCTTCATGTAATCCATCCAGTAGAAATAAGAGAAATTCCTGTGAGTCATGGTGGTGACCGATGTTCTTTCGAAACTCAGGAACATACTTGGTGACGGTGTCACGGAGGTCTAGTGGTGAGATGGATCGATACTGACCTGACCAAATAGCCTTGATCACTACAGCAAATTCCTGCGCCACATTACCCCCACGACCAAGTGGATTTTGCCTGATAATGAAAGTAATATTTCAATGCATTAGTCCTCCAAGCAGGCCTCAACCAAAAAGCTCTAGAAAACAGTAGATATGGACTCTACCAAAACCAAGAACCTGATTTTATTTGAAAAGGATGTATTCTATAAGATTAAGTTACAGTGGCACCATGTAACAAACCTCCTTTTGTAAATATTGAGGGTCTGAAAAGAACTGAGGAAACTCAATGTTTCGGACAGTATGCTCTGCCCGCCACAAAAACAGATTTGTCACAGGATGCAATGGTAAGCTTCACCATGCAAATCTTCAAAGCTTATCTGATGTATTCTATGTTTACAGATCTCCATTTTGAAACTTTTTGCAAGACTGAATGACAAAAAATTTATATTTAACTATTCAAATGAACCGTGACAAAAGCATTCCTATGGAATTGTTCATACCCTGTTGATTTTCACCCTACGGTACCATTACAGATTCATGGCTTCTGACATGCACCTTTATAATAATAATTTGGGGCTAATCATCCTTATTGGCAGCTGAGAAGCTGACTTGCTGGACGTTCCAGCAGATGGGAGTTCCGGCGTGGGAGCATTGTTGTTCTTTTATCCCTTTTTTTTAAAGCCTTCACTTGTGGGTATCTTTTTTTCTAAAGATTTCACTTGTGGGGTACCGTTCCCTTTGTTCGGGTACCCCACAAGTACCTCTGGTGTGTACTGTCATACCGGGATACGGACATACAGAATTTAGAACTGGTAAGTGTCCCCAAAAACTTTGTTTAGGCAACAAAGTAATTACCAATAATGGATCACTGGGGAGACATTCCCATAGACTTGTGCACAAAGTTTCTTCCAACTTTAATGACCCCTAACTCCAATTTTACCTTATCCTACTGCCACAAATTTTGAGGTTTTTTTTTTAGTAATTGTACCACGAGCAATCGATCTAGCCTATTTGCAACAATGACATTTTGCCTCTAAATACAGGCCGAGGCATTAGGGAGACATTGAAATGTCTCACAAATTCCACATGACTCTAAAGTGTCTCCTAAAGGTCATATTAGAGTATTTATACCTCGCTATACCAAGATCACAGCACTTAACACTGAACAGGGGGAAAAAACAAACAGGGGTAAGATGACAAAACGACTAACAAAACAATCAATCCAGAAGAAGAAAAAAATCAGGCAGTTCAAAAAAACTCTGGGAAAAGGAGGGTCTTGAAAGAATGTTTGAAAACAGAAAGTTCTTTTGTAGGCCCCTGTTTTTTTTTGTAGTTTAGTCACTTTAGTTTCAAGGAATCTTCTGTTAAAAGTCCACCCTAGATGCTTTTACTTTATAGAATAACAGCACAGAGTTGACAGAAGACCCCCTCCAAATGTAACGTGAGTTACCATGGAATTGCCCATATGTAATTGACCTTCCGTGAAACAGCTCACAACAAATATAGCAACCAGTTTGGTCTCTCATGCTCATGCAATATGTCTACAATACTTTTTACTGTAGATGAAACTTACCTATTGATATCAGGAACATACTTGTCAGTGATGAAGTAGTAAGTTAGCGGTGTTGAATTGCTTAAGCACTGGACTACCGAGTTCATGAAGCATGTGTTTCCAAGGTTACGTAAGCCAGTTAGCGATCGTCCCTGTGTAGATAATGCGAATATGCATCAAAATGACAATGTAGTATTCGTCCCCAAAATGTTTACAAAATGTGACTCCTTTTGGGTATTCAAATATTTTTACTCCACAAAACTTTAGCAGAAAGATATGGGTACGCATGAACATATTGCTAAAATCCTGGTTGGTTTGCTGAATTAACGCACTGTTCTGTACAATCTAGCAATAAAGGCCACACAAGCATCTCTTATTTGGGTCTTAACTCATTTCTCACTTCAATTCAATCTTTCTTACATTCAAAAGGATTAGTTTTCTTGAGATATGAATCTATAATTCTGGAATAAAACTGATTGCGATGTAACTTACTTGGTTACCATAGACTGGATTGAGGTTGCGTGCCCGTGTGACAGATGGCAGTATTTTAGGTTGTGCTGACTGTACTATTGAAGAAGATGGCATCCTGGTACAAGTACAATGGAACACAACTCTGGGATATCACCTTAATATGAGCTAATCATATTAGCAATTAGTTATTAAAAGCTGAACCCTACAATTTCTGGCCTACAATCTGCATGAAAGGATGGGAATGCCAACTTAAAAGAAAACATGCAGGAAAAGTTCTCTTGTTTTCAAATTGAAAAATGTACTACAATGCATCCACTCAAAGCAGTCAATCAAATTCAATAAAATGATTCTTAGAGAAATTTCCTTTCCAGTGATCGGTAACCATTGAAACTGTTGTCATTTAGACAAAATTACCAGCAAAGGTACCCCTCTCTTTGTTAAAAGAAAATTCCAGTTGACCAAATTTAAAATTCTTTCTGTGCAATGTGTTTTACTATAGGGAGTGGGCGTGTATGTTCATGCATGCGCATCCAAAATGTATCAACGATGTCCGTCCATTAGGGAAAGCGGGAATCTCACTTTTTGTAGTTCTAATGAAAATGCAAAATGCAACCATGGTGATGTCAGGCCCCATAGTTATTAAGACAAGCAACATTTGCTTCCAAAAGCAAGTCAGACTGGTTGAGTGTGATGTTTTACAGCAAAAAGTGACATGACTCAAAACTGAAATAAAAAACAATTTTTGAAATGCCCATCCCTTCGTGAAAATGGTAACGTCACATTCCTAGTTTGTGAGATCAGCAAAGCACATGAAGTAAAGAAACAGTTGAATTATTTATAATCATTGCACTTTTTTCCAACATTAATCTTCACTCACAACATGCACCTTTTAATAAAGTTAATACAATGTACAATATTGACTCAATGTACATGGGCTCTGTGTATTAACTTAAATAAATAGACACTAATTAATCAAACAGCACTAAATTTGCTGCTCCATGGAAACATTTTCCATCAGTTCATTTGAGAATCATTACCTATCAATTACATGTATATCAAGTGCCCAATATTATTTTCACAATTTATACTTGTGCATACAGCCATTGCTATTTTGTGGTTTTTGACACACAAGGGGGCATGCAATGATTTTTTCCTAGGAACGCATTTTGTGCAACTTCCACTTCTCTTAAATGTATGAACCTATTTGACATCCCTTTTTGGTTAATTTTATTGGAATGTGCAACTTTTTAAACAATTAAACAAAAGTCCATGCTTTTCCCTGACAACTGAGGGCACTGTTGCTTTGATGTCTTTTCAAGAAAACACTGTTCAGTTTAAGGGTTTTCTGTTCACACTGTAAACCAAACATTTGCTCATTGAACACATTTGTCAGAAAGGGCTGCTTATTAGCTGACTGCAATGAAATGACTCAACAACGAATCACAAAAGAAGAGAAAATAAGACAGCAAAACATGCCAAATTCCAGCAACTTTTTGTGCTGAAATAGCTATAACATTGAGGTTTCTGCCCGGAATTACATCACAATTTTTGCTCATGAATAAGTAAATTGGCATAAGCATAAAAAACCAAAAAAAACTTCGAAATGGCAAAACAGAAATTGAAAAAAGGTTAAATGGAACACAAAGGCGCATTTTCGAGAATTGTATTAAAAGAATTACAATGCATGTTCCTTTACATTTTTGTGCAGCTGAAGAAAATGAACTTGATGAAATCCCCATCCTGTACATTTGTATAGTTGTATAAACAAGTTACCTTTGTATTGGCTTGTTAGCTCTGTTAACAGATGGAATTCGAGGTATCTCCTCCTGTTCATTAATGACCATCTGTGCAACATTTGGTGATGAAAATGATCTCTTCAAGTTGGATTGAGGAGCCTCTGATGAGTCCGACTTCAAGCGAGTCTTGGTGGTAGAAGACGGAGTTGAAGTCTTTGACGGAGATCCTGATACATGTAATAGAGGGGTATCTATGTGCCAATATCATACTGTATGGAAATTCCTTCAAAACATGTTTTAACATATTTGACCTTGTACTACATCATGTCACAGTTGGAAAAAACTGAACTTCCTTAAGTGAACTCGTCATACCTTTGCATTATAAGGATTGTCAATTTTGTACAATTCCGCAACCAAAACAATTTATTTCAGGCCCAGAATTTTGAATTTACATTTTCACTGTTGTGCAAAATAATACTTAAATTGTAGAGATTTAGACGTTTTTGAAGACTACTTTAATCATAAAAGAATGAAGGCCAATTGAACTATTCTGAATTCAGTTGCAAGAAAATGGTATTGTTACACTTATGTCAATGCAGTGCACCTTTCAACAGTATCTTTTAACAGTTACCTGAAGTTTCCATCTTTTGAAAGTGTAAACCATATATACCTGATCCTCTGGTGTCAAGCCGTTGTTCAGAAGATACTGTTGTAACAGGCCTTGTAGATGATGCAGTAGCTGTTGTTGCTGCTCCCCCTGGTCCAATAGTAGGAGGACTCCAGTGAGTAGTCCCTGTATTATGATCTATGTAATAATACTTGTTGCTGGTAAGATGAAGCTTCTTCTCCCAGCCAGCAGGTAATGTTGAAGTAGTACCAGTGCTTGATATCTGCATAGTATTGGATGGCGTTGAGATGGGAACTGATGGGGCAGACATAGAAGTGACTGGTGTAGATGAGGCATGTTGTTGATGCTTATTAACTGGTTGTGCTGGCTTTCTTGTATCTTCACGTGAGGTTTTGTGATTACCTATCTCCTCTTGTAATTGAGGCTCTGAACCTCCTTCTTCTGGAGAATCTAAAGTTTTTGTCGTTAGCTTAGGCAAAGCTTCATCCTGCAGTTTGACATCTTGTTTGACACCTTGGTTTGCACTCAACCGTAGTGGTTTTGCATCACATCCTCCATCAGCTTCTTTCTTCTCACTTCCTTCCTTCTGCAATCGATGCTGTTCATCTTCAGCAACTGTTTCTTTGCTCTGTTTTTGTTGACGTTGTGCCTCCAGCTCCTGTTGCATACGTTTCAGTGCTGCTATCTGTGGTTCAAAAACAAAAATTCTGAGTCAACGCACAAAAACAATGCAAAATACTGATTAATAAGAGAAAGTTTTGTCATAAGATGTGAAATGCCATACTGGAATGTCAGAGAGCACATTATATAGTCACTTACTGCTACAATGACCACTATATTGTGGAACAGGCATTGTACAAATGCCATGTCTTCCCTGAATTATTACATCCATTACAAACAGACATCTGTCCTCAGCAGTTTCTCTTTTAATTAATCTTTTACAGCTAAATGTATTGTACTCGTCTTTAAAACCACTGGAAACAAAAAGACAACTAAATCACCAGATGTATTTGGCATCAAATAAGGCCGGGATTTACTGTTGAAATGTGCACATTATGACAAATGCAAAGGCAAAAGAAAAATGTCATTTAATATTGGGTATAGTTTACTCGTGATGAATTATGCATATTTATAATACCTTTTCTTCGAGTTGTTTTTCGATATGTGCCTTTTCGAGGCGTAGCTGTTTGTTTTCTGTTTTCATCTTTTCCTGTCTCATTTTCTCTAGCTCCAACTTAGCCTGTTGCTCTTGGATTCGATGTTCTCTTTGCATCCTTGCTATCTCTCCTTCACCTCCTGTTTTCTCTTCCTTATCTGCTATGTCCACCTGCCTGACTTCTTTCATCAGATTCTGGTTGCCTATTGCACTCTCTTTCTTAGAATTACTCTCACCAGCTATTACTTCAATATTTCCATTCTCTTTACCTGCAATTTTAGTCTTATCGTCTTGTACCAATGGCTTCAGAGATCGATTAGGAATCACTGGCTTTTCATTAGACAATTGAGGGGATTCAGCATCTGGGACTGAAGGCACACTTATTTTTGATCTGTAGCCGTGTTCCTCTTTATTTGAACTCAGAGAAACCTTGGCTGCTACTTCCATGGTGTTATCTTCATTCATTGAGATTGCTGAAGGAATGTTCGTTGGATATGAGTTTGCATTTAGTTGTTTGGGCTTGCTGGATCTATTGACAGTGGGGGTACTTTTGAAAGAACTGACAGCAGAAGAAGCAGGGGATAATACAGAACTGGTTGCGGAGTTGACATCATTGCCAGATAGTGCTGTCTGCTCATTACGACCAACAGAAATGGATGGCTTTGCCGCAGGTCCATTTTGAATAGGTGGGCTTGGTTTGGTCTCAGGCTTTGGCTGATCATCTTCAAGAGATGGATAGTCAAAATCCACTGTGGACAAAAAAATTAAAGTCATGACACCTGTCTCTAGTAGCTGGACAAAATATAATTTGTACATGCCATCATTGTATGTCAGTGAGTGTGTGTGCATACATACATGGTTCCTTAACCGAGGAACAGAGAGGAACAATATTGTCAATGGACTCCATACACAAGGTGAGGCAAAGCCTCATCTTATAAAAAGAAATTACTTCTACTCCGGAAGAAAGTTTTCATGTGACATAAAATACCAATGAGAAAGTAAGACCCAAGCATATGCTAAGCATATGCTACCTACACAAGTGCAAACTTGTTGAAGAGGCACTATCCACCGGTGGCCTGGTCACATGGGGATTGGTGGTAAACATAGGATATCGCAACAACCAACTTCCAAATCCTCCATCCAGCACAACAGGCTCCATTTTCAAAGTTATTGTTGAATCCCACTGTCAAAGGAAAATAACAGGAAGGTTCGGTTAATTGTTAAATTTCTGACATGTGAAAGAATTAATGCATTGGAATTGATCTTGTCTTGAGCTCAGTAATTGACCAATTATCTTGTGGTTTGCACGAAACTTGCACAACCTTTTTATTTTTTAAAAATAAATAATGAAAAATGCACATTTTCATCTCAAGGAAATATTTTGGAGTTTCTAAAATATACTACTTCAACCTTTGATAAGAAACTTAAAATTGGTTAAACTCATCATGTTTTTTTTGACAACAGTAAAAAGAAGTCACAATACAATGAGTTACAAGTTACATTGTGTCTGTTCCATTGTGTCTGTGTAACATATCAACTCTTCCATTCAAAAACACTTTTTACTGTATAACAAAGAAACAAGACCTTAATAAAGAGAGAATACGTGTAATTCAAAGATACACGTACATGTACATTCAAGCAAATGTGATTTACCCTGAAAAGTCAACTTTAAAATTTCCATTTTCACAATTGTATATATTGAAACGTTGGAGAGAAACTCCACCAACTCTTTGCTTAATATCAGTGTCAATGAATGAAACAGGCGTTGATACTGTATCGTGCTCAAAATACACTCATACTGCAACACACTTTCAAAACAAATTTTGATTTGTGAAATGGTGTACTGCATGCATCGCAGCATTCATCTGTATCTGTATCATATGGTCAGCAAAGCATCCCGGGGGAAACATCACACCAACTTGTTGTGCATCTCATGTGGGACTACGCCAAAATTATATCACCTAAAATTTATTCTTTTACATGACCCAAATGTTTGCTAATGTGCTTCAGGGTAAACAGGTAAAGACATTGGAAAGAATGCTGCATCCTGACGCCATTTTTTATTTCATCATATATTACCGGTATCTCACTGAAGGTCAGTCACTGCAGTAATATTGAAAATACATGAATCTTGGAATGAGAAACATTTGAGGGGCCTCAACAACGCCACTTAATAGAGACACTGTGACAGTGTTGCAGGCTCCTGATACAAGCTATGATGTCCCAATGCAATTGACTCTCCACAGGATTTGTACACAGCCAAAAAAGTGGTGCCTGGATACTACTTTCTTTCCAAGACATGTTGCTTAAGCTACAATTAACTAAGTTAAGATGTGTTTGGTGAAATTGTTTTAGGGCTTTTGAATTATCTCTTTACCTTGCTGAGAGCATCTTTCAAGCTTGCCAATGTGGAACCCTTTGTCAGGTCTCCAGCTGTACTATTCCAATCGAGCATCACAATACAATCAACACTACCTCGCATGTTCCACATCTCCTTGACTGCAGATGAAAGGCCCTTAGCAATCAGAGTTACAGTGGTTCTAAAGAATATACAAAACCGTTCAGCTTATGAAAGGGTGATCAATGTTTAAAACATGGCTGACAATAAAAGGCTTATCTGATTACACAGGACAAGTAATTCGTTCCTGTGGGCAAATTTGATCAAACTGCATTCCTACAGACAAGTACCTTTTTCTTTAATAATGCAACTTTTCCACATACCTGGGAAAAAAGGCATATACAGTATTACATTTTAAAACATCCTTATTTCATGGAACCAAAGGCTATGATTTTGTGTACAATTTAAAATGGAGAATTAATGCCTACAAGTGCATGCAGTACACAGGTTGAAAAATAGCCCGACCCCAAAATAACAGCAGACTTTACAGTGGCTGTTTGTATATGTTTTTAAGCCAGGCTCAAAATAGTTGGTAAATCACCGCAACTTAAAAAATAGATTTGTCGGGCGTTCTCTTGAATACCGCAATTTAAACAAAGCAACTTGTGTACCTACAAAACAAAGCTGTGAAATTACAATGATCATTCTACAATGATCACAATAACTCAGTGTACAAATGGTTTGAGGGTGGACGGTCGATACTCGCCGAGGTATTGGGGACAAACTAGTCGATAAACTAGTTCACAAACTAGTCGATAAACTAGATCACAAACTAGTCGATAAACTAGTTCACAAACTAGTCGATAAACTAGTTCACAAACTAGTCGATAAACTAGTTCACAAACTAGTTGACAAACTAGTTCCCGAGGCAAATCTGAGGAACTTACTTTGTCAACTTTCAATACCAAGCGGAGATAATATCGACTGTCCACCCGAAATAAACCATGTTATATTTGTTTTACTATACCTCGTACATATTCACCTGCTGATTTTTGTTGTTGTTGCAGTAAGCACCTAAAACAAAATCTTCGGAGAAACTTGTCCAGCTCACCAAAATAATATTATTGCTCAACTTCACCATTTCAATTTGTTTCCATTACAATGACTACAGTTGTAAGTGTGTGAGTGTATTTATTGTCCAAAAAATATTCTCCAGTTCGACATCATTGAGCTCGGGAAAACTAATGTATAACGTACTGTCCAACCATCTCTTCATGTGTAGCTCGCTTGGGTGATGTTCACGCGTGCGTACTATACCCATGCGACAGTTCCACAATTGCTTTGTGAAGCGCATGCATAGTAGACTGTCGTACGGGTAACCTGAGCAACAGTCTACGACGCATGCGCATTTACCCTGTGCGTGAATCCTCGAGCACCCGCTTGGTAAACAGCAAAAATAACATCTGGCATGTGATAGTGAATTGCCCAGTGACAGTTTGGCTCTGGATCATGAATATGTATGAGGTATAGTAATATAATATAGCCAGTTGCTATACTGTAACTTAGGCCACCTAAAATGACTGTGCAATGTATGTAATACATTGCTGCATAAGTCGTAGGCTCATGCAACTTGAAACTTTTGTGTCATAACTGAAATGTTGCACAATGTGAAGTGTTGCACAACGTGAAATGATTTACTTTATTAAATTTACTTTTTAAAATGTAGCATGAGGAGATACCGTATGCCATCACGTAAAGGTTTGTGAAATGGGCTTCAGGCACTACATCAAGTACATGTATATTGTACACACAATGTACTTGATGCACATCTACTTCGTGTACTAACCTATATTTGTACATCCAACATGACTGTGATCTAACCAACTGGGATAAGGAAACAACAGGATGTGTGTTATGAATAACTTTACAAACTGTGGAACAATCTTGGCGAGAAATATCCTCAAGGCTATTGATTGGTAGATAGCTATCAGCTGACCCCACTGTGTTAGGTAAGTAATGAAACAATAAAAACTGTGGTGATTTGACACAGAACTTATTGGCTGACTGGTGTCATGATGCTCACCCTGGTTTGATAACTTCCTGTGGTACATTGATAACTTGTGGGTTCTTTATATGTGAAGACTTGTACTGCTCACTAGATCTCACATCAATTACAAGAATCTTCCTTGTGCTATCCTGGAACAGCCTGTAAAGTTGGCAAGCGGTCACTGCTCCATTTTGACCTGCAAGTTGGAATGACACAAGAAATAAACTCATTGAGTTTATGAAAATGAATCATAATTACAAAATATACACTTAAACTTTTTTGTTTCCCTTCTTTTTTAATGGCTGTTTTTTTTTACATTACCCCTTAAAAGTCAGGGTTTCCAGAAATGAAGATGTAAAATTATATCTTCTAGAAAACTGGAATCCTCGATCCTCATTGGTTGATCCATTGCAACAACAATTTGATATTATACGTAATAACACGTCCCACATCGCACTCTGCATATCATGCTATTTTAAGATGCGCATGCTATTCCTACTGCATGTGTGTGTAGCAGGATAACTGTTGAAAAGTGCATGTACAGCATGCATGGGGGACTGTGCCTAAAGTTTGCTTGAAGATTAATTCATTATCAGCCTCGTGGCACATGGCACACAGACGGACTTAATTATTCGTGAGTAGAACATGCTTCTGGAATAATTGACACTGTACATACTCCTCTATTTGACAAGGTTACTATGCATTGCTTTTATTATTAATTCTTTATTACATCCAGGTATCTTTTAAGCCTTTTTATGTAACAAAATTATAATCTACTTTGCATGTTAAATTTTGTTAAATTCCATCTTATAATACTTTGCTTGCCTCCATTTGTTTTGAATATTGTACCGATATATCTAACTGCATTCAACAGTTAACACTTAATTAGTTCTGAACATCTACAGTGCAGCCGCTGGTCAGTTACATCATCAAGATAATGGTCTATGCTAACATCACCAAAAACATTAATGTAGATTTTAATGTTTTTATCTTAATTGATAATTTTAGTTGAACTCTAAGTTTAATTATATTTTGAATTTGTTTGTTTGTTTGGGGTTTTTAAGGGAAACTATTTGTTTGTCGGTCTGTCTGTTGTCAGTCTGTCTGTTGGGCTATCTGTCCCTGTCTGTTTGTCTGTCTTTTGTCAGTTTGTTGGGGTGTTTGTTTGTTGGTCTGTCTGTTGTTGGTCTGTCTGTCTGTACGGCTGTCTATCTCTGTCTGTTGTCGGTTTGTTTGTTGTTTGCTCGTTTGTTCGTCTACATGTATATTCTTTTAATATTTAATTAAAGTTTTAATTTATTTGTTTATTTATTTTTAATTTATTTTTTTTCCCTGTTTTATATATTTGTTGTTGGGTCGTCTGTTTGCTTGTTTGTTTTTTAATCAGTAATGAATAATATTCCTGTTGATTAAAAATGTGCCATGTAAATTTGTTAAATTTTAGTTGTAATTTTAAATAAGTACATGTATATTTATATATTTTTACGATACCTGTAAATACCTGTCTCCGCTGTTGGTTATCAAATAAATAAATAAAATAAATAATGTACACTGCTTACTAAATGAAAGTTTTAAATAAAAGATGAGGATGAAATAAATAATTTGCTCACCAAAGTCTGTACTTTCAAGAGAAGCATCCTGTCTTAATGCCTCTCCATTTATGTGTGCATCTCTTGGTTTGTCAACACTGTCCTGGGATGCCTGATCTTCAGTCTCAAATTTGGCTTTGATCTCTTCCTCTTCCTTTAGATCCTCATAACTAAAAGAGGAATAGTCAATCAAGTATTTGTACATGATCTTTGCATACATGTTATGTATGTGGTCCATACATCACTGTGACAACATGTCATATACATGCTGAGGCGGGGGGGGGTAACAAATTAATGGATGCCGTTTCATCTTTGCTGAAATCACTTATTGTGATATACAAGGCTGGAGTTATATAATGACCTCCTCAGTGACTGCTATCATTACTCTTTAAACAATAGTGGATATCATGGCTACTTGTGCCATGTCCCATTCACATGCTGCCCACACTTTGTGGCACAAGTAATGATATCGGGTACAATGTTGGCCTTGGACTTCCTAATGCTGCATTGTCATGTCATTCACCAGAAGCTAGGTGTTATCAGTACACACACTTGTACATTCATTGTATATTTCATATTTTCAGACGTCCTTTTCACTTGATATGCATCCTCTGTGGTTTGCACATTTTTTAACAGATGACATCATCTATTAACCGTAACATGTACCAGTAAACACAATGTATACTGACATTTATCAAACCCAAAAGATGCATTGTTTTCAAATTATAACAAATGGACCAACTGGAACAGTCCAAATGTCTTGATTCTTTTTTTTTCTGCTCTGATGAAAGAGTTCTTAAGTTAACTGGGCAGTGTCTGGTGAAATAATCGTCTGCCTGATCACCCTACATTTGTACATGTAACTCAACAAAAGTGCAGGTCTAGTTTGTATTTGGTTCATTGTAGTCACTTTAGCTGAGCCATGCTGTTACTTGGGTCAATATTGGTCAATTGACCCATAGGTTTGTTAAAAGTACAGCAGGGGAAGTGGAAGGAAATTTTGACCATTTGTGACCTATTAAACAGCAGGAGGGTTAAAGAAATTGGCTTGCTAGTGGAAATCTGATGATGTCACCATTAAATGATAACTCATGGCAAGATTGAGTTCAGTTTTGGAAAAGATAAGTGGTTTATTCAGCCATGTTACTGAGCATTCCAAGCTAAGTTGTCACATTACTCAAGTTGTGTTCATGTGCCAACACAGCACCCTGATTTACATATTACAAAAACCATGATGTCACAGTAAAAGAGTACCAAAGTCTGACATCAGCTAGATTTGTTCTGGACCATGTGCTGGTTCGCATCCTGCTGTCTTCACACACTTTAATTGTTAATTCAGAATAGTCGATGTTTAAAAATTTCAATATTTTTTAGAAATTGATTTGACACCCCCCCCCCCCCCATTTTGATTGTTATATTTTGAATGATTACTCAAGATATGTACTGAAGTACAAAGTAATGCTACAAATTAAGCAGATAATTATTTTAGGTCAATGCTCTCCCAGCTCAGGAGTTTTCAATGGCTTTTCCAGGCTTCCAGCATGCAATTTTGTAGTTGAAACTAGGCCCTATATTTATTAAAAAAAAATCTTTTGCTTTGCCCGAAATGTTACAGATCCGGCAGGATCTCGCACAAAAATGCACTCATGATGGCGGCCCTGTTTATTGCAAAAAAATGTGTCAGCGCTGCTCTAGTCTTCAATTCAAGCCTGGTTTCACCGCTGAGGGAGCGTCACTGATGTACCGAACCTTGTACTTCCGTATTGGCCAGCGCACGTTGTACCGAAAAAAAAAACACTGACCATTACTGTAATTTTCGGAATATATGCGGCTTATACAGTTGTACCTTGATTTTGCCCATGAAAATGTTTACTGCGGCTTATACACCGGGCGGCTTATACGCCGAGCCTTGAAGAATAAAAATGAAATTCACATGTGTATTTAATGTACTGGTATAAGAAGAGATATGTTGCTGAAATGAATTATCAATTAAGAAAGTCATTAACGAACCGAAACCACGTGCCATGTAAAGGTGCCGAGCAGTAAAAAGTACGGTGAAAGCTGTCTTCGATCGACGCTTGCAACAAGCCGTACGTGATTCTAGTGCTGCTGCATGCGGCATGCTTTCCCCAGCGGACCACACCATTTGTGGTAATATAGGGGTGTACTTTCTTGGAAACAATAATTACCAACATTTCCGCTGTTTAAAAAAAAAGAAAAAAGATGACTAATACTTTTTATGGTGTCTGAAACATTTCTTTATGCGATAATCAGTTGTTCAACGTCACAATTAAATTTTGTACTTGAAATGTATTCAAGAAACGATGAAAACCTCAAAACAGGGACTAAATCACCCCTTACAAAATTAATGGATTCGTCCATGAAAATGGCAGCATCGTTTTGACTATTTTCAAAGAAAGTTACGATGAACGAAACTTGAATACTGCTCGTTAGTAATCACAAAAATTTGATAAGTTTTAAGATAAAAACGGACCTGTATATTCTTAGGACAAAACAAATCAGCATCTGTTGCCACAAAGCAAGATTTGTACGTAGCGCTCCAGTCAGACAACACACGCAATGGGGGAAAATCACGGTGGGTTGCATACTCTCTCACGTGCTGCAGGAAAATGTTGTCATAGGCCGGCGCGGCAGCCTGGACTAACTTTTTCTGCCGGGGACCGGACGGGGCAGCCGGCAGCAATTCCCGGTGTTTATTTCTCATCATCAATTTCCACATTTGTTTATGCGAGTATCGATTGTAAATGATTTGATACAACTTTTGTGGCCCTTTTTATAGCTTCTGTAGTGTAAATGGAACTGGTTCAGAGCATTTTCACTAGAATTTGGAGGCCTTACAAAATTGAAACTGTTGCCGACGGTGTGGCTTATACGCCGGTGCGGCTTATACGCCGACTTCAAATCTTTATTTGCAGATTTTTGCGTGCTGCGGCTTATACGCCGCGCGGCTTATATTCCGAAAATTATGGTACAGACTTGTAAATAAGTATACTTCAATGTTTACACTAAACCCAACCTCGTCCCCATATGCTTGAAGGTCCCTCGCGATCTCCCCATTTATCTACCATTGGAACGAGGTGGACTATCGAGACCCAAAGGTCGGCGATCGAAACAAGGTTAACCAAGTACAACGGAACAGCACAAACATGACGGACGACCTCTGAGAGACCGCTGGGTATTTGGGGTTTTCCCCTTTTTCTTTCAGTATTCTTTTTCTATTACTTTAATTAAAAACTGAATTTCGATTTTTCAGTTATTTCCTTTGACCCACCCACACACAATTTCGAAAAACGATCAAATTTTTTTAACACTGACTATTCTGAATGGCCCCTTAAGCTATGCGCATTAACAAGAATATAGGGCACACTGCGGTACTCTGCATGTTTCACCTCCAATTCTTCTTTGTTTTCCCTTTTTACTGCCTTACAAAGGAAGCCTGATTTTTTATTAACCATATTTTGGTAGGTATGAACAAAAGCTCATTCTCTTTGGCCTTTTAATCTCCTCAAATTACTCGATTAATTGGAAACAAAAGTGAGTCACTAAACTACATCTTTTTAATGGTACTCTATGAACTTGAAAAGGAACCACTTAAGAGAGTATACATTCCTGTATGTGAAGGGTCCCAAATAAAAGGACCAAACACCAGGGCATTGGTCAACTTTACTTTTATCATTTGTGACTAACCAATGCCAAAGCCATTCATTCTTTATCAATAGCAGAATCTAGTTCCATGAAGATATTCAATGTAATATAAAGCTGTATGCACTCATGCATAAACATGACTTTAACAAATACATAAAAAGTGATTACCTGTTGAAATTTTTAATTCCTTACCGTCTTATTAGAGATTTTTGAAGAGACTCAGCCTTTTCAATAGCAGGCAAGACATTCTTTATGCCTCCAAGGGAGTCATAATATTGCTGTAACAAACAAACAAAATTTAGTGGTACATGTTGATTTGTGGAGGTAGGATTGGCTCTGAGGAAACCGAAAACGGGTTCATGCAGTGTCTGTATTAGACTGACTTCTATCAACATTGAAACACCACAAATAACCATTATCCCTAACCCACCTCACTCCTCCAAAATCCTCCTGGCGGTTTTGGAGGATTCTAGAGGATTGAGGATGAATGGTGATTGAAGCACATGAGGATTTTGGAGGATTGAGGATGAATGGTGATTGAAGCACAAGAGGATTTTGGAGGATTGAGGATGGTTCTAAGCAAAAAGGGCCTAGGGGGTTAGGGTTATTAACCCTAACCCCCTAGGCCCTTGTTGCTTACAACCATCCTCAATCCTCCAAAAATCCTCCAAAATTTTCCAAAATTTTGCAACTCCGCCTAAATTTTTCAAAATTGTCAGACAGTCCTGCCTCAAAATGCATTCATCCTCAATCCTCCATAATCCTCCTCATCCCAAAACTTTGCACTCGTGTTTAAATGAAGGATAACCAGCGCCAAATCCTTCAAAATCATCAGACAGTCCTGCCTCAAAATGCATTCATCCTCAATCCTCCAAAATCCTCTTGTGCTTCAATCACCATTCATCCTCAATCCTCCAAAATCCTCATGTGCTTCAATCACCATTCATCCTCAATCCTCCAGAATCCTCATTTGATTCAATCACCATTCATCCTCAATCCTCTAGAATCCTCCAAAACCGCCAGGAGGATTTTGGAGGAGTGAGGTGGGTTAGTGTTAAGGGAATAAATGTGTGCTCGGGAGGTTTTAATCACTTTGTTTACGACCGCTTGAGTCTGGGTGCTGATAATTACTGTCTAAGGTATTTATGAATACATCTTAATGATCTTATTAATTATTAAAAATCTTAACTTAGGTTGACACTATACTCACTTGATAATAACAGGGATGAGATTGTCAATTTTGAACAAAGTCTGAAATTTGATGAAATTTCTGAAAGACATCTTTCTTTACTACTAATGTCTTTCTCTCAGATTCAAAAAGTCTGATTTCAGATAAAGTCTGAAAAATCGCAAGCCTGAGATAATGAAAAATTCCACAATAGCATGGCAATGAAATAATGTTGCTGATTGTGCATACCTACATCGGGCTACATGTGGGATGACAAGGTTTTTATATACAGGCTTTTATAGACAATTTCAATTGATTCATGTGTCATTCATTATTCAAATGTTGTTATGTTATACACAATTATCACCTTCAGAACATGCGTACATACATGTACATGTTGGATTCATCAATGAATAATGTACAATGTGGTACAGCTGGTAGATATCTTGTACATACCTTATCTGCTTTGTATTCTTTTGCTTTTGATATATACTGTACTAAGCAAGTAAACTTCATGTACAGGACATATGCACGTTCCTCATCCTGATTCCTGTCAGCTTTTTCAGCCTCTTGAAACATCTTATCAGCAGACCGACAGTATCTGCAAGAAAGTAAACCAGTCAGAACTGGTCATAATACTCACTCTCAACATTTATCACTGGAAAATACAAATCACTGGAAAATACAAATGTTCCTTCTTGTAAATATCAAATTTTTTTAAAAACACTGCCATTTATTTGATTACAACAAACACTTCTCATATATTTCAAGCCATTGGAACAGGTTCTACAACAGATCATCAACTCTTGTCACATCAAAATACATTCAGACATGTTGTGTGCATATTTTAGGAATGTGTAGACGAATGACACTTAAACATTTAGTGTGTGTTTTTATAATCCAAACCAAAGATGAAATTTCCATTATCTGTCAAGAAGAAATTATAAATACTCGTACTCGTTCACTCATGTTCTGAAGAAAAAAATCTCAATTAACCCTTACTCCTGGGGCTCTTTTACTAGAAAGTATCCTGAATCCGCCAAAATCCACCAATTTTGTCATGCAAAAAATGCTGGTATCCTGAATCCATCAGAATCCCCCAGTGTAGATTCTGGAGGTATCCTGAATCCGCCAGAATCCACCAGCAAAAGTCTTGATGGATTCTGGCGGATTCAGGATACCATGGTGGCATAAAAAAAAATACAGCATGTTTTTCCATAGAGTCTTCAAAATCCATCACCTAAATTTCTGGTGGATTTTGACGGATTCAGGATACCATGCTCGCATGAAAATTGTGATGTGTGTTGTTGCATAGGATCCATCAAAATACACCAATGCATGGCGACCCCAGCATGGATCAGTACTGAAGTGACTACGTCTCGCGCACAAATTTTGTGTGAAAGACATTAGCGCATGTTTCAGCCCGTAAACCATAGATATAGAATGAAAAGACTAGATCGGCAGCGCGTCCACACGCGCCCAGTCACTGTGCGATAAATCTCCGCCATTTTGGTTGTCTCTCATAGATGCGCAACAAATTAACGTAAAATAATGGAGCTAAATGTATCTTTCCTCCAGCACGTGACCTAGCTCAACACGCGCGAAGCAAGAAATGCGCACCGAGTATTTACGCGATGCCCACACATAATTATTAGCGATGCGCATGGTGTTCTTTGCGCATAAACGGCGTTGCGTTCATCACGTTTTCGGTCATTATTTGTATCTTTCCTCCAGCACGTGACCTAGCTCAACACGCGCGAAGCAAGAAATGCGCACCGTTCGTCACGTTTTCGCGTATTATTTGTATCTTTCCTCCAGCACGTGACCCTCCATGCAAGTCCACCCAGTACATGTGTGTACATGTTTGCACAGAATGTGACAGACTTGGCAGGGCTAGTGCCAGCAGTATTTACTTGACCACAAACATTGCAAAAGAGTTAAACTGTTGAGATCCTGAATCCATCAAAGTCCCCCAATAGCTCAAAATGGAGGTATCCTGAGTCCATCAAAATCCGCCAGTTCCGCCTGATCCCAAGGTATTATATCTGCAGTGGTATTATACATGTATCTTTTAGTGAAACCCTAACCCTGCAAGACTTCCAGGTCACAATTGGGCCAAATTGCATCCCATGTTGTTTTCAAAATAGGGTCAGTCAATCAGGACTTTTGGGGGGGGGGGGGGAAGGGGCCACTTTTATGCTGATTAACTTTAGTGGTGTATTTTACAATGATACCACACCAAATTTGCTCCAAAAAAGTCATCAAATCTTGCCCATAATAAAATTTGTTTAAATTAAAAGAAATATATTTCAGACAGATCGATTTTAAAAGTTGTGATCATTCCCAACGATGCCAACGAACCCAAAACATGAAGCAAGTCAGTTTAACAATATTTTCTATAACATACCGGTACTAATCCTCCAAATCCATTTATTTCTGAAAATTGCAGCAAAAGCAAATATTGTATAAAATATTCCCTTTAAGACCGGTTGGAGTCTGGATGCTGATAATTTGGCAGCTTTGTTGTTACTGAAGAGCTGTTTATCAAGTATATTATATTCAAATTTGAATTCTTGATCCTGATTGGTCGATCCATGGCAACAACAGTGCGATACTAGAGGTTCGCATTTTATGTTACAAACGCAGAGTGGTCGGGTAGACAACTATTTCATTATACATTGTCCAGTTAAGTTATGAATATGTTTATGTCAGAACAAAGATTCTCGAACTTTAACCTTTCCAGAGCAACCAATTATTTTGTACAAAAAATGCGTCTATTAGGGAATGATTAATTTCAGTATACATATTAGGTACACGTTCAAGTTATTTCCGATTTGATGACGTCATCAGTCAAAAAGGGAAGGGAATACTGATTTAGTTCAAGGAGGATACCTGTTTATCATTAGGTAAAAATAACCCATAGAAATATGGACATTTTTAGTGTATGTAGTAATAACACCCAACATCTGGAACTTACAAGTTCGTATCATGTATCGTTTAGGAGAAAAAACGCTGAGAAGTATTGTCCGGAAAAAAACCAAAACAAAGAAGATTAATCGGAACAATTCTAGACAGTGGTCGGTTGTGCTCGACCACTCACTTAAATACGTAATCAGACATTGATATCGCTTCTGTGTTTCATGCTACTCCAAGATGTATGTGCCATTCCTCTTGTGTGTACGTATAATAGAGTACCTGCTGAAAAGTTTGCCATCTTTACTGTGCATAAAGTTTGCCTGAAGATAAAGTTGCTCCCATGAACACGAAAAATGTAGTGCGTCTTGCGTCCCACATACCACGAGACCGAACAGACACACTACATTATTCCATGTTCCACTAGCACTCATGGGATGACTATTATTGTTATATCGGGTGCTTGGATACTTTAATTTCATTAGTCGAGTATGGCCACGTGTCAAGTCTATAAAAATGCATGTACAATGGCTAACCTCATACAAATGCACGTTACATGCTCGCTTGCAACTGAGCTACATGCAATGCATGCACAACCGGGTTCGGTCTCATGTCCTGCAGGAAAGCCTGCAGTTACCTGGAGTTACATCGCACTGATTTCATTGCAATCTTCCATGTACATGTATGTGTAATTTCTAACCATTTCAACTTGTCGGGGCGCATACCACCCGAGGCTTCCCCTAGGGGCTATGTGCCCCTCAGGTGTTACAAACGTTATATCAGACATCACACTAGTCAACAAATGTTAAATATTATCAGCAAATTTCAGACCAAAACTACCCATAATCAATATTTGTGGAGGATGAAAGAAGAGAGTTGCATAATATACATGTATCTTCTGAGATAAGGCAAAAAAAAAAATACAAAAAAAAAATACTCGGTCGCTGGTCAGCGCGCGCGTCGATTTTAATCATGCGCGTCAACCTTGTTTTTTTCTTCAAATTAACACGGAAGCTACAACAGCACCCTCTATTGCTGCACCTCCTCAAATTTTTGTACCAAGGAGCACCAAGGATTCAAGGAATGGGGAAATTGCACCAAGGCAAATGATAAAGGGTACCAAGGCAAATTATGGAGGACACCAATGTATAATGAGGACACAAAAAAGCAAAATAGTACACACCTTGACTGTACAATTCAAGCTTGAAAAAAAAAAGCAAAAAAAAAAAAAAAAAAAAACCGCGTCGCCGCATCAATTTCGTAACTTCGGTCTGACCAGAGACCGAATATTTTTTTTTTGGCCTAAACTTACATTTTTATTTTTGTGTTTCTGTCGGTATCAACCTGTGCCTTTAGGTTGAGTTCTTGCATCGACTTGGCGATATACAGCTCCTTCTTCTGTTTGACAGGCATGGTGATATGGATTGAAACTGCCGCCTCCTTAGATATCCTCAGAGCAAGTCACTGCATCAGGGCAATCTACACCTGGTCAGCTTTGTCATCTGTAGTAAAGAAAACCAATACACATTTAATACAATGTATGTAGACTGGTTTCCATGCAGGAACAGCAGACATGGCAGATGGTCATAGGTGCCTCGTGCCTACTCACAAGAGCCACTAGTGATGGTGACAGTTCATAAACACATTGGTTCACGCAGAGTGATTAATGCAAGACTTGTGCAATGGCTTACACGTGTCTGCTTTTACTCTGTCTCTCTCTTTCAACACTGAGGGGCTACTTTTGCAGCGCGTCCAAAGATGAGTAAAAACAAAGTTGTATGAGAGTCAATGTACGTTCTCATTGCTAATCAAATTAGACAGCTGGACTTCAATTAACAATTGTTGACTGCTGTAACTCTCTCTCACGTGATGGGCACGTGTGGACTAGCGGTGGAGCACAGGATTCGTGATTGAGAGGTTGTGGGTTCACAACCTCTCATGCATGTTGTGCCCTTGAGTAAGGCGCTTTACCTCAATTACTCCTCTCAACCCAGGTGTTAAATGGGTACCGGCATTATTCAATGCTGGGAAGGTAACAAACTCACTGTGGAGGAGGTGTGGCGATCCCCCCACAGCAGCATATGAGTCTGGCCCAATCGCTAATGAAAAAGAGATGGGCACTCCGTTCCTGTGAACACAGGTTCGTCCCCCTTTACCTTTACACCTGACTGCTGTGATGTGGGATATGACGTGTTAAACACCCGAGGGGCGCACAGCACATGAGGCGAAGCCGAGGGTGCTATGCGCCCCTCATCACAGCATATATCCCACATCACAGCAGTCAACAATTGTTTTGTTGTACCTCTGTCTTGGATTCTTTGGATATGATGAGGGGCACATAGCAACTGAGGTGTTCAAAACGTCATATATCCCACATCACAGCAGTCAACAATTGTTTTGTTATGTATCTGTCTTGGATTCTTTGGATATGATGTGAAATCACGAAAACAAACAGCATTAAACACAGTAATCATGACAATTGAACGTCAACTCACATGCATGGCGGGTGCTCGAAACAGCTGATCGTCTGCTAATAATTCGCTGCTCCCACCCATGTGTGAAAACATGGTGAAAGTAGCATGGGTACCAACGATACAAGCGTTCCACATTACACTGTCATAGTCATAGTCACATTACAAAGTCATAGCACATTCCCTGTTGGACTGCTGAATGTATGAGGTATGTAAATGAACTCTGGGGTGGGATATTAGAGGTGAAAATGAACAATATTTGAAAGGCCCTTTTTTTTAGGGTCTCTTCTTGCTACCACATTCTAACGAACAGGTTATGCCTCCAGCGCTACATGTGAATGAATATGAGCATGTCAGCTGGAGTTACTCAAGCTATGCTCAAGCTAATTGTAAAGGTGATTTTTGAGCAATAAAAAATATTTTTGACTAATTTGATCAAAACAAAACAGGACTGGGCCCTACACTTCACGATCGCCACTAAAAACTATGCTGAAAAAGAGTGAACATGAAGTGACCGAGCTAGGTCTATGAATATGATGAAAAAAAGTTGTAGGGCCTAGCAAAACAAACTACTGTGACTGAGTGACTGAGTGTGAGTCCGTGTCTTGGACTGTTCGTTCTCAAGTCTCACTCTCATGTTATTATTAAGGTAGTGGATATTTTGCCGGAGGTAATGCCGGCAAACTAACGTTTACTAAAGGTTTGCCGGCGGCAATCCATATCAACAGAGGGCGCTGTACTCTTTAAGATAGGGCTGAATTATAATATGTATTAAATTCTCACCAAAGTTGTGTAGCACAAGCGGTGCAGTGGATAAGCAATTGCTCTAGTGAGTGGGATGTCCCGAGTTCGAATCCTGATCCTCGCCACATTTTTAAGGTTTTTTTTTCCATCCCCAAATAAATAAGAATATTCTTCTTTTATTATTTTAACAATAACATGTCTCAAACATTTTATTGCAGAGTATTACATTTTCTGATTCAGATTTGTGGCTCTGGAGGATTTTTTTTAAAAGGGAAATAAAGTCCGAAATTATAAAATGGTCTGAATCCCATCTTGTGAATACGAGGTTACAACGATGATATTGGCATGGAGCCAGACTAAAATTTGTCACCGGAAAATGTTGGAGTACAAAAAAAACAGTAACTGCGCATGTTCAGTGCATATCCGGCAAACTAACGTTTACTGAAGGTTTGCCGTCTCCGGCAAAATATCCACTGCCTATTATTAATAATGTAAACGGGGTCCTAAAACTACACGATTAGTCACCATGGCAGGACGTACGGTGGGAGAAGTAGAAATGGAGGTGCGTACGTAGTCAAGTTCATCCACAGCTTCCCAAACAGCAAGGAAAACAGATTTTCCTGTGTGTAATTTGTACTTGTAGGCGATGGCGTCATTAAGTTAGGCAACTAGGCCAAGTTCGGGCAAGGACCATTAGTCGACTAGTGGTTGATTTGTGACGTACCTTACGCCTGCGCACTGATAGCAACGTGCGAACGTCTCTAGTCAAACGCTGGTCAAAATGTCATCGCAAACTTTCTGGATCCTGGCTCTCTGCTTGCGTTATGAATGCGCGCGGCTATTGGTTACCAGCGAAGCAACCAACCCCAGTAGGCTGGTTCCAAATAGTCGACTTGCGTAGTCAACCATCGTCGACTAGACAGAGTTCGGGCAAACGTTAGTTAACCATTGGTCAACTATAGTCATAGGGCGTTTTCGAATCCCTGTTCTTGACAACACCCGGGTTAACCCGACACGAGAACAGCGGTCTCGAACGTGACGAACAGACCCGAGAGGGCGTTCGCGGATCGATTTTTTCACTCCCCGGTTGATGGAGGGTTCGGCGAGGTGCAGCTTGAACAAAATGGCGGACTGTGCAGATTCACTGCGCAATAGTCGTAGCCTTGTTTTGTGCTTCTTTTTTGTTGTTGCTAATACCCTAATGATTGGAATAAGAATACCATTATAATGCAGGTCTGCAATTTCATCCCCGCATGTCCGGTTTTGCAACAGTTGTCCTCGTTCATTTGGAATAGGCCTAAGTACAAATTCAGACGATTGTCGGTCATTTTGCATTGCTTTTATATCGATGCGACACGCACCCGCGCGTTCGTAACAACCAGTTCGAGAACACGTTCTCGTGTTACACGCGTGTTGTCAAGAACAGGGATTCGAAAACGCCCCTGGGTCCTACTAAAGCGCGTCAACAAGCGTCAACAAGCGTCAACAAGCGTCAACAAGTTTTAGTAGTCTTTAAGTGCGCGTCAACAAATTTTTTATAGGCTTTTGAACAATAAAAACAGCTTTATATGGTAGAAAAAGCAATAATGAACATCTTCTGCATATCAATTAAAGTTAAAATTATTTTAAAACTTGGTTTTTTGAACGCGAAATGTATGACGAATTTGTCGATAAAAGTAGGCCGCCATCTTGTTTGGATGGCGCTGTAGACTTCGCGCATGCGTAGTATGGCTCTTTACACTTCACGCATGCGTAGTACGGCTAGCTACACATAAACAAGATGGCGGCCTACTTTTATCGACAAATTCGTCGTACATTTCGCGTTCAAAAAACCAAGTTTTAAAATAATTTTAACTTTAATTGATATGCAGAAGATGTTCATTATTGCTTTTTCTACCATATAAAGCTGTTTTTATTGTTCAAAAGCCTATAAAAAATTTGTTGACGCGCACTTAACGACTACTAAAACTTGTTGACGCTTGTTGACGCTTGTTGACGCGCTTTAGTAGGACCGATAGTCCTTGCGCGAACTTGGCCAAAACTGGAAGGGCGCCCCTAGCGTTGAGTAGGTAAACGCGTGCTACAATTTTGGGTGTAAAAATAATGCTAGCGCCTTGTGGGGTGTCGGATACGGAAGCGTATTTAGGACATGACCGAAAATATTTTTTTAGGCCCACTACTTCGCCCGGGCGGATTACTATTTCGCCCGGGCGGATTACTATTTCGCCCGGGCGGATTAGCATTTCGCCCGGGCGGATAACTAATTCGCCCGGGCAGATTACTAATTCTCCCGGCCGGTGTGGCAGGTAATTCTGTCCCCCGGTAAAAGTGTCCGGGGGGACACTGGAATTACCTAGGTAAAAGTGTCCTCCCTGGCCCGTTAATTCTGTCCCCCTCCAGGTAATTCTGTCCCCTCCAGGTAATTCTGTCCCCCAGTTTTTTTTGTCCTCCTCTTTTGAAACCCAAAAGGTTATCGTTTTGATGAATTCACTCTACAAGGTATACATTTTGGACTTTTAGTCTGCCCTTCATGAATATAAAAAATATTTAATTTAGTCTATTAGATGATACGTGAACACAATGTTTCGATTCGGAGTACGGTGAAGTCTATCGCGATTCTACCGCGATAGGCCAACACAGCGGCGATGCATGGCGATGGCCCTCGTCGCATTGATACAACGTCTCCTTGGATTAACGAAATTTCCTATTGGACGAATTTCCATTGTAGAGGGAGACGCATATATATACACATGTCGAATGTGTAATCATAGCCTCAAATCTTGCAGCATGTACTGGCGCGTGCAACACGCTGCTGCTCTCATTACATACTGCATGGGGACACATTTACCAGGGGGACACTTTCACCGTTGGGCAGGGGGACATTTTTACCTGGAGGGGGACAAATTTACCTAGGTAAAAGTGTCCCCCGGACACATTTACAGGGTCACGATCATTTACATTTACCGGGCCGCCAGTAATTGGAAAATTCCTAGCTGATAAACAGTGATGATAGTATCTCAGCCAATGAAATGAGCCAGTTCCTGGCAAATAAAAACGCAATTGGTTGATTTCATCACGGACCGTCTGCTTTCATGAATATAGCCGTGTCCGCACTGGACTTTTTTTTTGGAAGGTTTTACCGAGACGATAGTAAAATGAGAAATGGTCAAATGTGACCACTGTCCGCACTTGGACTTTCGACACGGGAAAATTTACCCAGACCGCGTGGGAGAAGTAACCGAGCTGTCACAGTGTCAGTATAATTACTCACCGTACACAGAAAACAAATTGCCGATGACATTTTCAGCCGCCGATACGCACGGTAATATTACACACGCCATTTGCATGCACAACATAATCGTTTACACGATATTATTTCATCTTGACACGCTAAATCTTGACGAAAAGGCCTGTAATTCTGACGCATTTGTGATGCACGTCGTCGAAGCCATGCCGCTGTACGATGTTCCGTGCGGCAGCAGTGCCATCAGTATTCGTTGGTTCCCATCGCATGCTTACAGAATCGAAGCTATGATGTGGGCCAAGAACCAGTGACTACGGCCTACGTGCGGTACCGGACCATGATGTTCCGTGCATGACTACAGTAGCGTATCAGGACAAATTTGGATCGTAGAAAAAAACATACATCGGTGGAGAAAGAGAATTTCCGCAAATTAATTCTCAGAACGTGATCTCTCTTCTCTGTGTATGTATTTGTCCGTTGAAATATATATTTTAACGAGATTTTACCGCTAAGACTTGATGATACACGGCGCAGCGTGTTTCTACAAAATGTTCGGCCACACGTGCACTGAGGTTCTTGCGGTCTCTGTATGCATAACATGGCGCTCGGGCCGGAAGTACGCTTTCCTGAGCCGCTTTTACCGACTCGCACTGTCCGCACTGGACTTATCGTCTCGGGAAAAGTGACCTGGTCAGTTTTCCTGGGCGCGTGGGAAGTTTTCCTGGGCAGCAGTTGGCCAGTAAAAGTAACCGCTGGACTCAGGAAAAGTAACCGAGAGGAAACGTCCTAGGCTGTCCGCACTGGACTTAAAATGGGAAAAGTACCCATAGTCTCGGTTAGTTTGACCAAAAAAAGTCCAGTGCGGACGTTCTTTGGAGCGATTACCAATAATGCTGGAATTCCTAGCTATCTGAGCCACAGGTGCATGCTGCATGGCAGCGTGTCCATCAGTGATGTAGTGCCTTGATGCTGGGCCTTGGCCTTAAGGCTGCCTTAAGGCTGGATTTTAGGGCCTTGGCCTTGGCCTTGAGGCTTGAGGGCAAAAGCCTTGGCCTTGGCCTTGGCCTTGAGGGTTCAGGGCCTTGCAATTTTGAGTCAAGGCTCTTCAAGGCCCATAGATTTTTGCATTTTCCAGATAAATCTGTTCGAAATTTTGCTGTTACTATTTTAATCATATTACCATGGAGGA